GGTATATAGGCCAGGAGCTCCATAATTATCAGGTGCCGATGACCTATGTGAAAGTGCCGCTGTACAAGTCGAACATGGACCACGACATCGTGCACAGGCACTTCTATGCAATGTGTTATGTAACAATATATGTGTATGGCGATTCTATATATAAGAATAATAGTACATAAGCCAGTAAAAAAAATTACATTATTATAATAGCCTATATGGGAAAAGTACAGTACACTCCGATGTTGCACCCAGGCAGCTGCCGATTATACTACCGCACGAGTTGCTACGTCACCTGGCTCAGTGCGACCACATTCCGGCCCAGCAGAGCAATGTATACTGGCAACACATGAGGAAATTTGCTTCCTGGGGATCCCAGCACCCCGCCGACGATGACTCGTTGCCTGTTTTCCTCTATGGAGATGATACCAACTTCAACCAGCAAGAGAAACTTAACTTGCTTTGCATGGGGTTCACTTTAGATGAAAGAACCAGCAGTATGGAGTGCCACTTTCCTTTGGCATGCATCCGAGATGTGCCTCAATGTGTATTTTGTATGTGTTCGCATTAATTAAATTAATTGCTAATAATATTAATATTATTAGTCGTATGCTAATAAGCTACGGGCTTTGGGTGTTAAACCCATTTGTTGTAGGCACTGCACACCGGCTACGAGACCTATCAGGCGATCCTTCGCCCGGAGCCTTGTATTGCAGATTCAGCAATCAACATATTGTTCGAGTACCGCATACAAATATAAGAAGCCGTTGAACAACCGCTGCGACCCTGCCGAGATCGTGGCATCCCTGAATGCTTGTTTTCATGGGCTGCAACCTTCCGTGCCGATTCTGGCAAAAAACGGCGACTACAACCTCGACAGCTGCATGCCTCCTTTTGGGGATTCCCCGGTACCCATTTACAAGAAGCCGGACGGTACGTTGCTGAAGGCAACATGCACAGAACTCCGGGGAGACTGGAAATACTTCAAGGTCCGGTACGCGAATCATTCATCGAGTTTTCCTGTATGTCTATACCTGTTTATTTGTTAACAGCCGGTCTTATTTACGTAAGCTTAAGTTATACCTTATGATGAAGCTAGAACCCCAAACCCATAAGGTGCCTAAACCCTGGCTCAACAGTTATTATCACTGATCACGAATTCGTAGTTGCCGAGGAATTGCTGGGACTTCGAGTGGGGTACAACTGCAAACGGCTGTGTCACCATTGTTACGTGGAGTCTGGCGACGGTTTCCTACACGTCCCTTCTACTCTTAGCTCGGACCCACGACGGGACAGGAACAGCTTCCTCAACGATTGCTTGCAGCCCCGGAACCCAAGACGCTTGTTCGCGATTGATTCATAATATTTCGTTAAGTATAGCTTCTGCAATGCAACGGTTTATAATGCTTGCATATGCTTGCTAGCTAGGTTGGGTGACCCAATTGCTGGGATGGGACCATCGGATGGTTCGCTGGTGCAGCTTACACACGTTCAATCTGGGTCCAGTGGTCTGGGCTTTGGCCGGTGCATTCTACCTCATGATGCAACATGTTCCTGGTATGCACTAGACGACAGTGCTGCTACGGCTGTTTGGTTTTAACTTTTTCGACTTCCCCAGCTAGTACTGGTAGTATAGCTAGTCCGTTAGTAAGGAGATTTGGGGCCAGGGCAAACAATCCGAGCAGCTGAAGACAGCATACGCCCTCTTCCGCCAGTGGAGCAAGGAGCAGAGAATAACGTGCCTTAGATTGCAGGATCGGAACTCGCATAGATAAGATTTTTTTTTAACCCAAAGGGTCCTATGTACCGATATAGTATCGTAGAATGTAGGGTTTTTCATATATATAGAAAATATATATCATAGCGCTATATTATAACCCCCCATTGCATAGGACCCTTTAAATAGTAATAAGGGTTATTGCATACATAAGCGGGTTTTGGGGTTCCCTGGGCTATAGCAGGCATTCTCAGCCGATGTTTCTGCCCAAGCATCTACGATCAAAAGACGGCGAAATGGAGTTCGCCGCCAAAGCCTACAATGCCCCTTCCCTGTGATCAGTATAGTACTAGCTGTACGGTGTAATTAAGTATAAATATGTACAATGTCAATTGTTTTAAAAGTATATGTATACATGTGCAACTACGATGAATCAGGCCAGAGTGATGTGCAGCTGGATGGCTGATTTTACAGTGAAACTGGCAGTGCAGAACCCCGACGACCCAACATGGCGAGAGCTTGCCCAGTGCATGATCCACGGCTTGATTTGGTATAGTACGTACTAGGCATACTTTTATAAAGATACCTGCAGGGGCAATCGATGATCGCTATATATGTTATCCGAGGTACTACATGTCCGAGCTCTTCTGCATCATGGAAACTACTCCAAGGTACATGGGGACACAGGCGATCGCCAAAATGGAGCAAGCTGCAGCTGCTTGTACTGCATGAATCATATGTGTATGTTATTCGGAATTCGTTAGTTGGATATAGCAGTATCATTAATATATATGTCGCGACCTAGCAAACGCTACGATCAGGACGCCGCGATGGCAGGCTACACGATGATGGCTGCCCGCTGTGTATCTTTGTCCAAGGGGTTATTTCAGCTGCGACCAAAACTTCATGTGCCGTGGCCGCTGAAATGATTAAAGCTTTATAAATTAAACGACTTCGATATACAGTACTATATTAGTACTATGTTATTTTAAACTTGTATTATATATCCCAAAGGGTACCCATATAGTCAAATGTAGGGTTTCCATATCAGGAATTACAATAATCATATATAGGGAAGTATCCCCCATATATAGCCTGCAGTACTAAAGGACCCTTGGGTATTTAAATACGTTGTCATCTAGATTGGGGCTTGTACATGAAGCTACCTAGTTAACTATGTAGCTGACGTTAACATGTGTGCCAGGGCCTACAAGAGATGGTGTGGTTTGCTTCCACGGAAAGCGACGTGCTGGTTTCGGCATAAAATTTTATGCACGTGTTAACCACCTCGAATCAATCCGGGATCCTTGTAAATAGCTGTATATAGCTTATCTATTATTTGTAATAGCCCTCAACCCTAAGCTAGATAAAGTATTTTCGGAGCCTAGGATACAACTGGCGATATTATCACACCTTCTCGTCAGAGGACTTTAATGGTCGCTACATCAGAACCTTGTCGGCAATGTTGCAACCAGTATGCTCATGCATATACCCCTAGCGATATTATTTTATAATTCGGACTCGCATCCCAGGCATCGCTTCAGCTGCTCACCCACGGAGCATGGAACGGTCCTCCTTAAGGAGGTACTACATCTGGCTGCCCGGCTATCGTCGCTACAACCCCTATGTAAATAGGTGTAAGTATACGTAGGGTTTCTCAAATATAATATATATATATATATATATATATATATTTTTTTTTGTTTCCTATATATGTAGGTACGGTTTAGGTTGAGGTCTTCCGGGTCTAACGATTTTAACCCCCTCCACCCCAAGACCCGAATTCTACAAAGACCCGTCCAAGGCTCCAGATGCAGGTCGATGCCAACGAGTGCAGGGGATCCAGCTGAAAAAAAGTTAACGAGAGAGGGTGTGATACGGGGTGGGTTTATTTGCACCGGTACTGTTGCTAGCCCTAGAAAGCCAGCCCTGTGAACAAGAGGTAATACAAATTTAGATTAGTGGTTTTAGGATCGGAGGTAATGCATGAAAGCTATCCCGGCTACAGGTCGCTGCTCACAGCCCTCGTAAACGGTACACGCGCCAACTTCCCTAAATGTCGAATTCAAACATGAAGGCCTGGTCCGGAAACCTTGATTCCTATATAGGAATAGCTACAAATCACTATTGTCACCCTGTAATTAGGCCTCAGCTCACCTGCAATTATAATTAGAGTTATAATTGCTTCGAACTAGCTATTTGGGGATACCGGCTTATTTCGGGATCCTTCTCTGAAACACTGATTCCCCACAGCTCGCGATCGGTTGCCGAAATAACCCTCAAAGTTCAAGCCTGAACGCCCTAACCCCAAACACTGGCAGCCCAGCATCCAGGCGACTCGTCGCAGTCCCATAAATCGGCTGTAGTAGTAGGTAGATAATTTAATAGGCCTAATAAAAATATCGTGTATTGCATGCATACATGTATTGTACACTCTATATTAACTTATACATAGCACAATATGCACGTGTTACCTATATTATAGACATTTTTGCATGTAAACATAGATATATAGATGTATGCATGCATGCGAAGTTGCAACGAAATTCTCAAATATATTCACATGCACATAAATCAACACAATGGATGAATGCACACGTGTTTCGTCGTGTCTCGTTGTGTTGTTTTATCATGTAATGTCAGGTTAATGCTGAATTTTTCAACGTGCATATATGTGTGATGGTACGCTTGATCTGTATTTTGTGTGTTTTCAGTGATCCAGATTTCAGGCACTGTCTGCTGGATGCGAGTTGTTTCCACGATTTTGCATCGATAATAATTCTTGGCTTCTCTCGTGCTGCTTGATCGATGAACATGGGGAACGTGTTTTTGCAAAGGGTGCGTTTTTTGGGTCCCAAAAGTTGCCCAGATGCCATTTTCGTCCCAGACACTATTTTCTCCCCAGGAAGGTGTCGGACACCGTATCTTCACCATATGTACACTTTCACGCAAGATGTGTGCCATACACACATGTACGACCCTTTGGGTATGTGTATGGATAAGGAAAAGACTGAGCATGACAGCAAACCTGCTACCCTGACGTGTTTTAGGGTTATTGTTTCAAAGGTCTGAACAATCCACGTTGAGTTGTAAGCCGTACGGCGCAAGACTTATATAACCACTCGACTAGGTTTCGCTCGCTCTTTCCGATTGCTTCGGGGTTTCAGTGTGCAAAGGACCCTCCCGAATTCTTCAACACTGACCGTGAACAGCAGGATCCTTGGTACAGGATCCCTGAGACAACCGGATCCCAAAATTAGCGCACTCCCGCTTGAAGCGGGTTTGTTGTTGAGGCTTAGCGTTCCTTTCGACATCTGTTTGAACAGGAGTTAGCTAATTAGGAGGACCGCCGCTCTTAACTGAGGTCCCTAAACCTTAAACCCTAAACCCTAACCGGAGGTGAGATACAGATCCTCCGTGTCGGTGGCCCAGTGCATGGAGTGATGCGCGTGCTCCTCAAACTTACTGCTCTGGGTCTCCTCCATCGCGACGTCACTTAGGGTTTAGAGTAGGGTGTAGGCTTTGGGTCTGTTGGCATCTAGGGTTACATAGACTCATATGTCAATACTTCGCAGCTCAGAGATAGGTTCGGATGTAGGTTGCACTGGCCTTGTGATTTAGTTAGCCTGCTTTGGCTTTCATGGGTTGTGGATTAGGATTGGCCTGTAGGGCAGTGTGGAGCCTACAGGTTCGGGAGGTCAAGGGGGAAATTTCTCAAGGGCCCAATGAGTATCAAGTTTGAGAAGGGTTGAAGTTTATGGGTTGAGTGGTTTGGGATTTAAGGCTTCCAGGGTGCAAGGTTCAGTAACCCTAAACCCTAAACCCTAAACCCTTCCAGGGTGCAAGGTTCAGTGTTCAGGTTGCGGCGATCTTAGGTGGCTGCTCTCCCATATGGTCACCCCTCAAGGCTCCTATAGTTACCCGCATCGTCAGTTCTAGGATACCCAGTAACCTAAGAATAAAAAGGCCTCTCTTTTTGGTATTGGGTAACTTTATAAGGAACTTAGGACTACAAAAAGGAAATAAGGGTACTACTGGGCATCCTATGGAGTTAGAACAGCCATGCTGGCGATTGAAGCTGGCGAGAAAGGGAAAAGGAGGGACCCTTAATGGGGACCCCTACCCCCAAAATGGCATATATTTTAGGTATATAATGGCTATATTATGGGTATATACCTAGGGGTCCTTATTAAGGGTCCCTCCTGCTACCCTTGGAGACTTTGAAGACATTCAACTCCGAACATAATTACAATAAGCTTGCCTCTGAGCTATGCGAGCTACATGGGTAGTTGTCAGAACTAGGATCCCTTCTTGGGGTACCGTAAATATTGGGTGCCGTATTATAAAAGGACCCGAAAAGGTACCCAAATTTTGACAACCACCCATATGTCCTGATACAAAAACCTGGTTCACGGAGAGAGGAGAACAGGAGTCGACATGACTTCCTACACGGCTTCAAGGTCTGCCACGCGCTCCATACCCCCAAACCCCCGCCTAAAACTCTGACCCTAAGCCCAAGACCCCTGCCTGAACCCTAAACCCTAAACCCTGAAGCCGTTCAGCCCTCTGAACCCTAAACCTCTAAACCCCTAAACCCTAAACCCCTAAAACCCAAAATCCAAAACCCTAAACGCTAAAACCCAAAACCCCAAACCCTGAACCCTGAAACCCCAAACCCAAAATCCTAAATACTAAACCCTAGAGCCTAAATACTAAATCCTAAACCCTTGAAACCCCAAACCCAAAACCCGAAACCCTAAAACCCAAAATCTGGACCAGACCTCATCCTCAAGGCATCGGCCCGAAACCCTTTTCGCCTTGTATTAGAGGGGCCTTAATAATTAGAATAGGGTTCCTTAAAGGGTTCCCTTTAAAGGGGTCTATAAGGATTGTTACTATAAGGAGTATTATGGGGGTTTTAGTGTAGGGGCCTGAATCATTAGAATAGGGTTTTGGGGGTTCCTTATATAAGTATAGTATAATGGGCTCCAAAACCCTATTCTAATTATGAAGGCCCCTATATTATGCTGCGACGGATCTCTCGTCACACCTCCCAAACTCTCAAATGCGGAGCCAAGAGCCCTTCAATGCAGGTGCCTTAATCATTAAAATCGAGTTTGAAGGCATATTCTTATACATACTACACTTAACAGAAGGAATCCTCTATTAGCCTGAATCGCAAAGCTCCTGAGTTCTTGTTAAGGGAATTATATAATTTGCCATAATAAGGCAACCATATTAACTATTTACTATAGATCCCGCTTATGGATACTATAAGGTCAATTCCTGGAAAGGAAACCATATTAGTTAGGTTACCATGGATCCCGGTTTTGAATACTGTTGATGTCAATTCCTCAACCTACTTGTCGGGTATCATGGGGAACTAAAAGCTAACCTTGTTGGGATTCTACACGGACTATACTACCCAAAAAAGGTTAAAGATTACCTGCTCTATTACAAGGTTAACAAGAACCTAAACCCTAAAAACCCTATCCCAAAGGGGCCTATGTACCGATATAGTAGAATGTACGGTTTCCATACTAGGAATTACTATAATGACTTAGGGAAGTATCCTCCATAACAGTACCTAGGACCCTTTGGGTTTAATTAGCAAGAACCTAACCCTAAACCCTAAGCCCTAAACCCTAAACCCTAAAACCTAAACCCTAAACCCTAAACCGAAGACCCGATTAACTAACAAGAACCCAGGCTCCTGGGTCTCATTCGGCCCGCGCTGTGCAAGCGAGGACGGGGAAGTTCGGGACATCGGCTCCAGGCCTTCCCCCGGCTTAGGGTTTAAGCTTAGGGTTTTGGGATAGTTTTTTTAAAAAAAAGTGTCTGTCTGCTCCGCGCGACGATGGGATAGGGTTTAGGGTTTAGGGTTTAGTTGGGGTTTAAAGTTTCGGGTTTAGGGTAGATAGCACATTTGTTGCAGCAGTTAGGGCGTCTAGGGCTATTAATGTGCAGTATACTCACTGCAAAAAGGGTTCAGGGTTTCAAGCAGCGCCTTGGGGGGGGCTGCACAGGAAACCTTGAAGCCCTACCAGGACCCTCCTTGTACCCTCAAATAGGGGTATATGGTCCCAAATAAGGGGCATTTAGGGTCTAATAGAGGGTAGATGGAGGGTCTAGGTAGATTGAGGAATTCACCTCGAGTACTTTCAGGGTATGGGGTGTTTTGGGCTGTCGGGCTTACCGGCTTCAAAGTGATTTCGCGTTCGTCTGGGAGTCAGATTCAGGCCGTTCCTTTCGAAATCTTCAGGCCCTCGCACGGCCTCTACCGTTCTCTGCGGCATTGCGCGCTACGCCAAATTGTCCACGGTAGGTCCTGCGGCATAGTTGGGCAACTTCAGCCATAAATCCTTTGGGGTTTTCAGTACCGGGACTTCAAGGCGTACCTGGTTGGAGCTACCCAGAGGCCCCAAAGTAGTTCCTTTTTGGGATTACCTTATAAGATTCTATATATGAAACCCAACAAGGAACTACTTTGGGGCCTTTGGGTAGTTGGGAGTCGGGGATTGTAGCCTTTGGGGGGGATAACGCTTCAATCCATGCCATTGACACTGCGCATCCTTCAAGGCCGCCCCGACAACCTAACAAAGGGGGCCTTAATAATTAGAATGGGTTTTGGGGCCCATCATACTACAATTACTATATGGAACCCCCAACATAGCATTAGTAAATATAAAAGCCCCTACATTAAATAGCTCCACAAGCCTGACAGGTTCATTCAACACGGACCCAGGGTCTCGTGGGTGCCGAAGATGTTTCCGTTCACGAAGTCGGTGTGGTTGCCGAATCGCTTAGTGAGGCGCAGGGTGCGGCTGAAGAGCAACATGCCGCCGGAGCCTCAGGCAACGGGTGTAGGCTGCAAGCTTCTGGTTGTCGAGATTTGATGATTCGAACTGTCTATTCATTACATCCGGAAACTAACCGGAAACTATGAAATCTCTTCGACATTTGAAAATCCCCAAACTGGTGAACCTTTAGCCTCAACTGCAGAGGGCCGAACTTCTGAACCAAGGAGCCACGAACCCCAAAACAACTCGCACATACAGGCCTGATTCTTCAATTCCCTCCCATCTCGTAGAAGCATCAATATCAAGCCATGAAAGGAGGCATCTAAGCCATCATTGCATAGACAGGAAGTAGAACAGTCAAACTCGTAGGCCCAAATTGGCCCTAACATCTTCCTGGAGCCCGGAACCCTGGTCCCTCGGATCCCCAAGTGTGCGAATCCAAACGCTGCAGTGCAAACTCCAGCCTTACCCTAAGGCCCCAAAGTAGTTCCTTTTTGGGGTTCATATATAGAATCCTACAAGGTAATCCCAAAAAGGAACTACTTCGGGGCCTATTGGTAGGCATAAGGGTCTAATCCATATGACAGTGGGAAGACTTGATAGTGAGCGAAGTTGAAGAGTAAGCCATAGTACTAGTAACCCAGTAACCCTTACCACGATACCTACAGTCTCCACTGTCGTTCCTTTTGTGGTTTAACGGATTAACCAGTTTTAGATTCAGCTTCCTGTACGGTAACGCAACAAAAGAACTACATTGGAGACGGTAGGTGCTTCTCAGGCCCTTCCACCCACCAGCTTGTCAAGGTAAGGAGCGGATTTGGGTCTTCAGCACACTCAAATCCACACCTGCTGGCTGCTTGTCCGGCCAGCAAACCTGCAAAGGGCTTGCGTTTGGGGGTCGAGGGTCTCTAGCCTAAGTCTTCCCCTGCGATTTTCGGTCTGAGTTTGACGAAAAGGCTGTGTGTGGCTGCATGTTGGAGAAACTCGTTTTGAGTTGTTGACAAGTTGCCGGGAAAGCTACCTAAACCCGCGAAGTTAAGCCTGCAAAGTCTAAAAAGCTGTACACTACTCCGATCCAAAAACGCCCACCATGACTTGAAACCAAAGCAAAGTGCTTCAAACACAGAAGACCCGATGACTCTATGATTGCCATACCGGGGTTATCAAACTTAAGCAGAGCATGTCAAAAACAATCCCCAAATTGCAAGTCGAGCCAGTAACCCTACACCCTAAACCTTAACCCCCCCCCCCCAAGCCCTAAACCCTAAAACGCCTAAAACACAAAAACCCTAGCCTCAAAACCCCGAAACCCCTAAACCCGTATCTCCGAAGCCTCTCCCTAAGGGTCCAAGTACCTAATTATCGTATACTCACCAAACTAGTAACCTACATAACTATATTTAGGGTTTAGGGTTTAGGGTTATACTTTCCTAACTAGTAACCAAGGGTTTAGGGTTTATTGTTTAGGGTTTAGGGTTTAGGGCATAACTACTTTCCTAAACCCAAGTACCCAGCTATTGGATCCTTTGGACCCTTGGGGCTGCCTCGGGCCCAGACTCAACTCTGGGGCTTCAGCACTGTTGCACGATACCCTACCCATGGCATCCAGATAGTGGTTTAGGGTTTAGGGTTTAGGGTTTAGGGTTTAGGGTTTAGGGTTTAGGGTTTAGGGTTTAGGGTTTAGGGTTGATACCCTACCCATGGCATCCAGATAGTGGTCCTTTAAGGGTTCCTATAACGGTGCTATAATGGGGTTCCTTTAAGGGTTACTACAAGGGTGTAGGGTTTGTTGCAGAATACCATACCCACAGGGATAGTTGTCAAAATTAGGGTCCCTTTTTGGGTACCCTGAATATCAGGTGCCGTATTATAGAAGGGACCCAAAAAAGGACCATCACTTTGAAGCATAGTACCGTAAGGTTCCCATGGTAGCCATACAGGGATCCTTTAAGTGTTCTGTTAAGGTTTACTCCAAGGGTTCTATAAGGGCTTTGTATTGTTAGGGTTTAAGGGTCCATGTACCCATGTAGTAAATGCTTCGGCCTTAAAGTAGTCCCTATGTAAGTACTTTCTACGTCATGCCCGGCCCAAACTATATGGGCATATGCATGGGCCCTTAGGGATGACGGTCTTTTACCTCTTTAAGTTGCAGAAGCGCTCGGTAAACTTCGAGTTGGGAGCTGTCCGGAACTGTGGTCAAGCATTCGACGGATTTTTGCAACAGCTACTGGCAAAGGCTAGCGACGGCAACGACTACGACAACCGCTACCACAGCTAGTGAACCGCACGGCTGCCGCTTCAACCACCGCGCCCCTCAGAGCAGAAAACTGAAACAATAGCTCTACAAAGGCACAAGCTACTGTGAGGCATCATGTGCACACACAAAGCACAACATAAAACAACAAAAAAACACAACAAACAACAAAACCCCCCCACCCCACCCCCCCTCCCAAACAAAAAACATAAGCATCAAACAGCAACATTCTAAGTCGGAGTTGCGCCTGGGAGTCCAGCGCCGCCAAGGGCGCCGGCATCAGGTCGAACTGCAAGCCGCCCACGAAAGCCTTTTAGGGTTTAGGGTTTCTGGTGCTTCGTAGGGAGTGGGGGAATGGATCCCTATAGTAGTCCCTTTAAAATCCCCAATAGTAGTCCAAGAGAGATCTGGGTTTGAGTTGAGTCATAGAGACGTCCCCTACCCCCTCCCCCGTACCCTCCTAAAGGTCCCTATAGCTGAGGGATCTAGAAGGGATGAAGTCATGCATGGGACCATAGCATCTCGCAGTTCAGGCTTCATCTGAAGAGATATTTAGGGTGTTGGGCAATCTTTCGGCGGTTGAACTTTTGCTGCGGACTCCTTCCTCCTGCAGGAGTTGTGCAACTGACTACTGAGGGTTTGGGACTTTACTGCTTCGTGCTTAGTTTAGGGCTTTACACCTAGAGCATTTGAAGGGCTCAAAGTATAGCAGAGACGTCAGACCGCAAAGGCTTAGGGCCTCAGGGTGGTGGGGCCTTCTCTCGTTTCAGGACTTTAGGATGTTTCAGGTTAAGGGTTTAGGGCTTAGACTTTGGACCTTCTCTCACTTGAGGACCCAGACTCTGGATTCCTGCATATTTGGAGAAACTGTTGCACGACAGTGCACTGGAATTTCATAGCTAGGACCTCAGAATAGACAGTACGAGAGTCATGACAAGGAGCTGCATGTGAGAGTCTAGGGTCTAGGTGGGGCTGGAATTCACACCCACTCTCTTTCTGATGCGGCAGCTTTTTGGCAGTGCTTCTTGTTCGTGCAGCTGCTCAGCCTTCCTTTGCCCTGTACACGGAAATCCCCCAAACAAGCTCTGAAACCTTGAGCTCTGATCGGGCCAAGCGTCGAGGACCGGCTGCATGGACAGGGAGTACGTCACCTGCAGAAGCAGCGAAAACTGTGAGAAGCTGACAGTTCCGGAGAATCAAATCGCCGAAAGGAGGCACAACTTCGCAAAACTTGTAAACCCAATTTGTAGTAGCAGTCCCTCATCGCCTCCGCTAAACTGAATCGGGTACTCTAGTATGATGCACAGCCCTATTCTGAGTGCTAGGGCTAGGGCCTCAGTTTATGCAGGACTCAGATTTACATCTGTTAGCGCTTAGTCATTGTCCAAGCACTACCTAGATCAAGGTACTAGCAAGCATGGTTATGAGGAAAGAAGCTGCAACCATACCTCAACGAAAGCCCACAACAACGAAAGGCAATTAAAAACCTTTGCTTTGACTGCCTACGGACCGTCTAGTGGCTACAGCAGGCGGGTGCGCCAATGTAAAACTCCAAGAAGGATCGGGAAGCTACACATACAGGTATGAATATGCGTGCAGGCTACCTTTGTAACTGCATGCACAAAGATACACATGTCTCGTGACAATTCTTCTGCTGTCGATATGTGTACATCTGCATTGAACGAGAACAACGCTAAACCCCACCGTTTAAACTCAATAGTCAAATAGCTGGCCCGAGCATTCCCTCCAGCAGCCAAAGCCCTCTCCAGGTGCAAGCTCAGTAAGCCTGTAAATGAAGCCCAAAGCCGCAACTACAGCCAAAAACATAAACTGTACACCCTCGGCTTCATCCTACAAGACCTACTGTCCTTGGCACTGCTCTCCCCGGAAAAAATCGCGGTTGCTGCTCATAAAGACGGGATGCAACCTCAAAGCCCCAAAGCGCTAAACCCCAAACCCCACCCTAAGGCTCCTGGATCCTCGCAGTCAGATCCCAAACCTTGGCCCCCAAAGCCCGAGCCCCTCACCCAGAAAGCCCATGACCCCTTTCGGAGCCTTAGGGCAAACACTAAACCCCAAACCTTAACCGTGTGCAAGTGGGTTGGCGGTCGTTGAGTCTATAGGACCTCGGTTGATGGAACTTTGGGAGCTAAGGCAACCCTAAACCCTAAACCCTAAACCCCAAAACCCAAAACCCAAAACCCAAAACCCTAAACCCTAAACCCTAAACCCTAAACCCAGCTAAGGGATCAGGGCACGGAGCCCTAATCCCAGAAAAATGTCCTCATAAAACCTTACTTGGAGGTTCATGGGTAGCCCTAGAGCTCCATGTACCCATATAGTAGGTACTTAGGCCTTAAAGGGTTCCCTATATGGCTACTTTAAGGCCTAAGAACCTACTATATAGGTACATGGAGCCTTTGGGTAGTTAAAAGTCGGGTTATAAGTAGGGTAACTATACGAATAACCCATATTAGGGGACTTATAACCCTACTTATAACTACCCCTGACACCTCCAAGTATAGACCCAGCCTCAGTCTGAGAAATAAGGGGCCGGATAAAACCCTAAGGCCCGAACTGTCGTCGAGTTGCAGTGACGCATTTCTCCAAAGGCATCTCCCAGCCTCGAGAATCCCCAGAACGGGTCCAGATGTGACTTTTTGTGGGTTAGGCTATGCTAGTTTAGCGCCTTAATAATTATCGTGTTTTGGGGCCCAGTATACTATAATTAGTTGTAATAAGGAACCCCCAATATAGTATAGCCATGTATTAAGGCCTCTATAGACTCTAGATTACGTGCCTATGCTAAGGACACTCGCGCATGCATGCATGCATACACATGTACATGCAGAGAGACAGACATACATACCACATTCATGGCAACTTAACCACGCACCAGCCAGAGAAGCATCTAGTAATATGCATTCTGCATTCTCGTGCTTTGCCTTTAATCCCTGCACGAGCACCCAGATGTAAGCTTGGTTTCGACTCGCCCCGTGCGGCTCTAAGCACTTATCTGCCAAGGAGCCGAAATCTCAACGTAATACGGTTTCGGGTTTGAGATTTGTAAGGTTTCGGGTAGTTTAGGGTCTCAGGCATCCGGGCCTCAACGTTGCATGGCATACAGGATCCCCTATACCCAAAACATTACCCTAAGGGTCCAAGTACCTAATATTTAATCATATACTCCCCCAAATTCTTACCCAAAAAATACTCTTCTAAAAGCGAGTACCTTGTAAAGAGTCCTTTTGGACCCTTAAAGGGTACATTTCGGTTTGGGAAGACGGCGGGCCTTGCGCGTATTGCAATCTGCTGTAGGGTACTTGAGTTGCTTTAGGGTTTAGGGGTTTAGGGTTTAGGGTTAGGGTTTAGGGTAGAGCCGTAGAGCTGATTGTAAACATCCCCCGTCAGTGTTAGCTGGGGCGGTGTTGCTGGAGCACTGTCATCCGGAAAGATCGTTGATCTTCTGACTCTTCCTTACAGCATCACACGTACAGGATCAGAGGAGTCGGTACGTAGGGGTATGATGAAGTGACTATAGTTGCAGCTAGCAACGTCGGAGATCGTAGGATTTAATGTCCAAATCGATTTACCGATTACCTGTACCCCTACGTACATTTACCCATGCACCTCTAAGCCTGTGGGACTAAGGTAAGAAGATGATTCAAAACCGCCCTCAAACCCACACCCCAAACCCCGAAACGAAATTCGCCTTTCTTAAAAGAAAAGACCCGAGATCTCAGTGCTCAAATCAAACTGCTTCAGCTCAACAAAAGCCTTCGACTCGAACATCTGTGCCAAGAGGCTGTAGAAGGTGTACCCCTGCCACTTGTTCCAGTTCTTCTGCATCCTGAGTTGCTACATTCATGTAACATACTGCCTCTACTCTACAGTAAACACAAACAACATGGCTCCATAAGAAGGACCCTCTACAGTACGGCCCGCACATGACCCCTACAGAAAACCCCACGCAGCTACTCATTGAAGCTCTGCATTCCTAGTCTTAGCCGCAGCTCATGTCCTTGAGGTAGGCTCCTTTTTCGGTCGAGGTCGTCTTGTTGTGAGGCAGCATATTTCCAATGGTGCCTTCTTTAGAAAGCTTTAAAATGACCTTGAGAACCTCTTGAAACCATTGTTTTTAGTCCGGCATTTGCTCTCTATAATAGCCGATCTCCAAACCGAAAAGCGACATTATGGCTCGGGAATTTATCAATGAAAGGCGTTCGGTTGCCACTACTTAGTCAAGTCCTTAAGGCCCTAGGTGCCCACATCTATGATCGACTCTGTCCTTAAAGTAATCCCTATATACGTGCTGTTGGCCCAAAGTACATACTTTATGGTACGCGGACCTTTAGGGGACTGGAACGCAGGGTCCCACACAGGAGGAGAGGTCAGTCTCCGTCACCAGCTATAGTGAAGCAGTGTTCGGTTAGTATACGTAATTATGAACTCAAAGATCGTTTGGTTATTAGGTTCTTTGATCCTCTTCACAGCTCATTAACAAAAGACCTATGCTCAGCCCGCTGCATTTGCATAACGAGAAGCTCTAGATCTCAGCACAAAGACGTGGAAAAGCTGCATTGACACCAGGTACTAGGTCCTCTGATACAGCAGTAAAAAACAAGTCATGCAGCCAGAAACCAACAGCATTGATATGCTGCGGAAACAATCGTGGATGGTCCACTAAACTTACAGAGAAATGTGGTTGACTAAAACATGCACGGACCAACAAGAGCGAACACTTAGTACGCAAATGGCCTACCTCTCGAAGCTTCAACCCCACCTCTCAACCTCAAACCCGACGCCTAAACCCTAACCGCAAAAGACTAAACACTGCCACCAGGCATCCAGAGGTTGCTGCAAGGCACGGCCCAGGGCTCCAGCTGAATGAAATCATCCTCCGATGTCACCTGCGTGGAGCTTGAGGGTGCCTGGGTTTTGGGGGTTTGAGCCTTCGGTTTGAGGATTAAGGGTCCCTAAACCCTAAACCCTAAACCCTAAACCGGTTCCGGTTTAAGGGTTTAGGGCTGAAGGTTTGAGTTTCTAGGGATGGCAACCACCCTGGTTGGGAGACGACTAGGCTTTCATGATACCCAAAGGGTCCTATGTACTGCTATGGGGGATACTTCCCTAAGTCATAATGGTAATTCCTGATATGGAAACCCTACATTCTACTATATCAGTAATTACTTTGGACCCTTTGGGTGATAGTAGACGGGGCTGATTGAGACTGCAAGCTTCGCTACACCCTTCCTGCGTAGCGTTATCTCAACTGCGCAAGATGCTACAGTTTAAGCGTAACCCCTCGACTCTACAAGCCCAAAGGCTCCATGTACCCATATAGTAGGTACTTAGGCCTTAAAGTAGCCATATAGGGACCCCCTTAAGGCCAAAGTACCTACGATATGGGCACATGGAGCCTTAGGGAAGTAGGTGCCAGGTCCCAAAGCCCCGACCACCCTTGCAATCAGTATTGACAGGCCTGACCCTAGGGGTCCAAGTACCTAATTATCATATACTCTCCAAACTAGTAACCTACATAACTGCTATCCTAAAACCGAGTACATAGTTATTGCATCCTTTGGACCCTTAGGGTGAGTAGTTATAGTATACTAGAGTATAGCATTGCGGAGGTACGACGATAAAACTACTACTTACTCAGGCTATCTTATGTGAACCCCGCACCTCTTTATTCTCTCAAAACCTGCATCCCATTGCATCCCCTTAACGCCTAAACAAGCACATTCTGTGTTCTTGATAAATAAGGGATTCAATTTGAGCTACTATAATAACGAAACCATATTAAATACTATAGATCCCTATTATGGTAACTTATCCCAAGTCCTTTAACAATAACCCAGCATTAGTCCATTCCCCAGCCTCCAAATCCCAAAGCATGATACACCAGCTCTTGATCCGAATTGGAAGAATAGCCTACGCATGTCCTTGATCTCTAAGCCCGACAGAAAGTCGGCAGCAGTGTGAATTTGCAGCCGGCGTCAAATCAAAAGAACCGAAACCCCACAGGCCGCCCTAAAACCTTAAAGTCTTGACACGCCAAGAGACTCCAATGCTCCCCAATGACGAATTTACCTTAAATTATAGTAGGATCCCTGACATGATATAACGAATATTCCCTAATTCAGAGATTTTAGAGTCCCCTAAACTCTAAAACCTAAACTCTATAGATCCCTTATTATAGATCCCTTAAAGGAACCCTTTAGGGATCCCTTAAAGGAAATCCTTTCAGGCTTCTGCGTCCTGCCTGCCAGTCTGCTTTGGTCGCCTGGTTCTTGCTTCCCGTCTTGTTCCTGGATTTAGGATTTTGGTGATATAAAGGGAACTCCAGAAAGTTGGAATATGGTTTCAGGGTAGGATACCCTACAATTTACCATAAAGGGTTTTGGATAAACATATTCCAACTTTCTGGCTTTTACTATAGGGCTTTCTGGTTTAGGATTTAGGGCTTAGGTTTTTGGTGATATAGGGCTTTATGGTAAAGGATTTAGGGCCAGAGTTTGTAGGGTTTAGGAGTTGAGGATATAGGGTTTTAGGGTTGAGGAAGTAGGGCCAGGTTTGTGGCTTGGGGTTTTCGGGGTTGGGGCCTAAGGCTGAAACCTTCTGATTTAGGGTGCAGAGTCTAAGATTTAGGATTTGGGTTCTTGTTCCTGGGAGCTGGTGGTCCAATAAGAAAGGGGGAACAAAATTGGGGCGTGGGAGCAGGGGGGAGAGAGGCGGGATTTTCAAGGGAGGAGTTCTGTAGGGCATGTAGGGGCCCTCAGCCTACTAGGTAGACGGTCTCTGCGACTCCCATACCGGGGGCATGACAAGTTGAAGAGGGTTTTACGCAAATCCTGTTGTCGCTACATACACAGTATATAGTGATGGCCTTCAGCGACCACTGACTCTGTTGCATGAGGCTCCTACACTGCCTTGTAGACCATAAGCCCCAAAACCTAAATCTCTGCTTATCTCTCTGGTTCGTCGTAGGAAATGTTGGACTCGGTTCCAAATACCGACGACGATAACAACCACAATAGCAACAATGAGCCCATGACCGTAAACCTTAAACATAAACCCTAAAGTTTAGACCCTAAGCCCTAAAACCCTGACCCTTCAACCTTAAGACCTAAACCGTCAACCTACAGTAGAAGCCCAAAAGTTGGAAACCCCATAGCCTCCATCCTTCAGAGTAGGTCATAGGGAATCCCAGCACTATTTGGCCTTAATCGGGTTTCCAACTTTATGGGGTTTACTGTAGTTCCTAACTATCAATCCAGGGGGCTTGGGAGCGAACGCCAAGCAGGAGCTGGTGTCCACCTCCTGGCCACTGCATACCCACTTCACGATACCTACTCGGCATTAAGGGGTTTAGGGATCAGTTGTTTAGGGTTTAAAGGTACTACAGAGGTTTAGGGTTAAGGGATGCGGTTTTTTAGGGTCTGATGACCCGAAACAATAATCGCATCAAGAAAGAGCTACTGTAGAATATCAGGCCGTAGACAATAAGTATCAAGAACAGCATCAAGAAAGAGCTAGGATCCAAGGCCGTAGACACTAAGCCCGAAACCACAAGCTAATTTGCAAGTGCAGGAAGTGTGCACCGCCTTGCCGTCGAATTGAGTGATGAGCTTGGTTCGGTAGTTGGCGTCGATGGCGCTGACCTGGCCAGACAATGAGGGAAGCTTCTCAACATTTGGGGCTTCGGGAGCCTCTTCTACCGCTCTCCTCCAGATGTAGCCCTAAGGCTCCACGTACCCATATAGTAGGTACTTAGGCCTTCAAGGCGTCCCTATATGGCTACTTTAAGGCCTAAGTACCTATATACTATATGGGTACATGGAGCCTTTGGGTAGGAGGCAGACCATGATTGTGGAAGTGCGAGGCGTGCTTGTGCTACGGTTGAGGATATAAATCTTGCATTACCCATAATAAGGAATATACCATAATTCCCCATAGTTTAGGGTCCTTAAGGTAATGCAGGATTCATGTCATCAACCTAAACCCTAAACCTGAAAACCCTATAGATCCCTTAAAGGAACCCTTAAAGGTACCCCTTATAGATCCCTTTAAAGGAACCCTAGGGATTTATATCATCCACCGTACTGTTAGCAGCATGGAGCCGGGGCTTGGGGTGTGAAGGGTCTGATGCCCTTCGAACGCAGATGTGGGGATTTCCGAAATAGGGGACCCGAATAAAATATAGTACCATAAATAGTAGGATCCTTATTATAAGGACCCCCAAATATGGTACCCCTAATTTTCGGAAACTCCCATGTGTTTCGGTGCAGTTCGGATCTCAAGAAAAGCTAAGGGGTCTTCATGAACGTATGACCCGAAAGCCCCGAAGCTCTACTCTCTGAAACGTGAACCTTTCGACCCTCTATTTAAACCCTATATAAGCCCCAACCTGAAACCCTAAACCCTAAATTTAAACCCGAAACCCCAAACCCGAAACCCTGAAGCCTAAGCCATGAAACCCCTATAAGCCCTAATTCCTGAAGCATCCCAAACCCTAAAACCCCTTAAACCCTAATCAACCCTAATCCCTACCTGCAAGCCCTACAAAATAGTAGGTTGTGACTCCTTAATTAGAGGGTATCACCCTTAAAACCATAGGTTTTTGGATCCCCAGGTAAGCCTTCAACCCTAAACCCCAAACCCTAAATCCTAAACCCCGAAACCCCCCCAGACCCTAAACCCCTAAACCCTAAGCCCTGAGCCCGCCTTGAAGTTGATCACTTCCTTGGGCCCCGGGTCGCCTCCCTTGGGGGGCCAGGTCTTGGGGACGTTCAGGGTCTGGGGCTGAAGGGATTAGGGCCTAGGTTTAGGGTTGAGGGTTTAGGGTTTAGGGTTTAGGGTTTAGGGTTTCAGGTTGGGTAGTCCGAAACAATCCCCAATACGGTTAAGGTTTAGGGTTTGGGGTTTAGGGTTTAAGGTTTAGCGCCTTACTTAAAGGATCATTAGTAACTAAGGTTATTACTATTATTAGGGTAACTATACTTATAACCTTTACCCAAAGGCCCCAAAGTAGTTCCTCTTTGGGGTTCATATATAGAATCCTATAGGGTAATCCCAAAAAGGAACTACTCTGGAGCTGAAGGGATTAGGGCTTGGGGTTTAGGGTTTCGGGATTGGCGTTTAGGGTCAGGTTTAGGGCCCAGGCTTAGGTTTGGGGTTTAGGGTTTAGGGTTTTTAGGGTTTGGGGTTTAGGGTTTAGGGCTTGGGGCTTACGGCTTAGGGTTTAAAGTTTGGGGATTAGAGCTTCGGGGTTAAGGGTTGTATACGACCTTAGAGTTGCAGTTGCAGTAGTAGACGTTCGCATGATGTCCGGTGTGCAGGAAGAACCATCTCAAGTCGTAAAGGGAGAAGGTGCTCCCGTACAAACTGATCCCTTAGACAAGACTGCAAGCAAGTGAAGTGGTTATCGGGGTCCCCCGATGATAGGTAAAACAGGCGACGCGTGCACACCAAAAAGCAAAAACGACCAAACCCCACAGCCTGCACCAAAAGCATGCCCTTAAAAAGTTTGAAGGCGAGGTGCAACTTGCTCCTGCAGCAACTCAGAGGCACGGCCGTCCTCAAGCAGTCACTGGATCCATCAGGCGGCTTCAGTCAGACGGCATAAGGCATAACCACGTGCAATCCATCAGGGTTTGGGGTTTAGGGGCTACCCGTGCCACTCAATTCAACAAGCGCCACCCGAAATCCCTACAACCACCACGCCCAAAACTAGAACCGTAAAACCTCAGATACATGTCAAACTCTGCAACCCTACATGGAACGCCCTCAATCCGAAAGCCCTACTCCGCCAAAGGGTCCTAGGTACTGTTATGGGGGATACTTGCCCAAATCATAATAGTAATTCCTAAAATAGAAACCCGACATTCTACTATGAAGGTACTTTGGACACTTTGGGTAACCGCCTCGTGAGCTACCTGGGAGTGGATCTGGATCATGAGGTTCTTGTCCGAGTGCTGCAGCTTCGGAGGGGCGCCAGCGCTTGGGAAGTCGGTGCTGGTCGCAGCAGCTTGCACCAAGGATTGCCCCTCTTCCAAGACCTTCCTGGCAGGGCTTTAGAGGTTGCATTTTATGGTTTAGGGCTTAGGGGTTTAGGGTTTATAGGGGTTGGAGTTAGGGTTTGAGGTTTGGGCTTAGGGGTTTAGGGTTTAGGAACTAAACCGGGCAGCATCCCCGCTTCGGCGAACTCCTGCCTCACCACTGCCGAGGCAACTTTTGCGAAGACCAAGATGAACCTTAGAGACCGTGCACCCTAGCCACCAAAAAGTTGACAACGGTTACTTTGTAAAAGGATGTGTATACCTCTATAAATTTGTAACATATATACTTTAGAATACATGCACACAGCAGAAAGGTTAAGAGGTTACCTACCCAGTCCCTGAGGAACTCTGTGAGCACGTCACTGATGCGGCTCAGGAAGTTCAGCGGCGGCACGTTTTCGATGATCTTGTTCCCGAAGCAGGTCAGGACCTGCATCATGTAGGGGGCCTTCAATAGTTGAAATAATAGGCTCCGGGTGTTTTACTTATGCAGTGTAACACTAGGGCTCCAACTAGACAAATAGTACCTACTTCGGTTACTTCGGGTTCTAAAAAGACTGTGAATAGTACGTGCTGCAGGCTAGTTGAAGCCCAAGGGTAAGTCTAACAAGGTTTTCTACGAAACACGTTTGCTAATTGTTCCGGCTGCTGCACTGTTTGACAAGCCTATACTGAACTTAGAACCCTAGCAACAATTATATTTTTAGCTGTTTCTTAGGGATTATAATAACCAAAATTTTAAAAACATATTTCTAAGTACCCCTAAGAAGCCTGGCTACGTCCCTACTCGAAAACTCCCGGCCCGACCCTGACCCTTCACTTGTTAATCCAGAAGACTCAAAAAGGAGTTTCCGACAATTAGGGCTACCTTCTTTGGGGGTTCTTATAATGAGGATCCTGCTATTTAGGGTACTATATTAGGGTCCCCTATTTTCGGAAACTCCCAAAACAACATCGAAGCACCCGCTACGAAATCAGGTCCTAAGAGTTGGGTGATCATAAGATTTGGAGATGAACTGCTCGATTGTTCCGATATTCCGAGGCTGTGTGGTTAGTGTAACATTTCCCCACTTGGGCTCCGAAATCTGAAAACACTCATCGCAAAGCCTGGCCCTAAACTCAAAACGTCCACCTGCAGCGGCGAGTCGACGGTAGCACAGCTAACGAGCTCCTGGTTTAGGATTTAGGGTTTAGGGTTTAGGATATAGGGTTGAAGGCTTAGGGTTGAGGGTCTATGGTTCAGGATTTAGGGTTGAGGCTTTATGGTTGAGGGCTTAGGGTTGAGGCTTTATGGTTGAGGATGGTTGAGGGCTTATGGTTGAGGGTTTAGGGACGAAAGACAGGTTTGGCTGCGAGTCGTTGCTCTGGGTCAAACGGGTCGCAAACCCTCCGGTCGATGGATAAATGCTCCAGAGAGCCCACTACCCGTCAAGTCAGGAAGACCTATAGCCTTGTATTTATTGGGCATCTCATTGTGATATGGAAAGTGCCCGGTTTAGCGATATCGCGCTCTTTGGGACTCCACTCATCGGAATCGCTACAGGCTTGCTGAACACAGATATGTCTGCGAGGGCTCCTTCCCTAAATTAAAGCCCTAAGCCCTAAACCGCCCTTGTCCTAAACCCTAAACCCCAAACCGTCCTTGCCCATTGTTCCCTGAACCCCTAAACCCTAAACCGTCCTTGCCCATTGTGAACAGCGCCTTGACAGCAGAAATGCCAAACTCGGCGACGGTTTTGATGGGCTCCGGCCAGGATAAGTCGGTGACGCCGAAGTTGAAGTCGAAGAGGTTGCCTTACTTATGGGATCATGGGTCTTTTTGTTTAAGCACCTTTTTCCGCCTGCCTATCTGTCTAGGGTCTTAGTAACTAAGGTTATTATTGCTAGTGTAACTTTACTTATAACCCTTACCCTAAGGCCCCGTAGTAGTTCCTTTTGGGGGTTCATACATATTTAGAATCCTATAAGGTAATCCCAAAAAGGAACTACTTTGGGGCCTATGGGTAGATACAGGGCGATTGCACACTCATCGGCTGAAAAAGCTATCCTCTATATATAATGGCCGTTTAGGGTTTAGGGTCTAGGGGTTATCAGGAAAATACATCGCGATATTCAAGCGTGCTTGGAGGATCATGGGACTTAGAAAATATGGTTACAAGTAACTAAATTGGGGTTACTAAGTCCCATGATCCTTTAAGTGGCCAAGGTACATGTCTGGCCCATGAGTCGCACCCAACACTTCTGCCTTGTCATCTGTTGGTGGCTTCCACGAACAATACTTATTTTCAACCACTCCATAGTAGCACTTTTCCAAAAAAATAACCCATACTTCTTCCTAAACCGTTACCCCAAGCCCTAAACCGCCAAAAACCCTATACCTTTTGACCCTAAACTACCAAACCCTGAACCCTCTAAACTCCCCTAAACCTCCAAAACCCTAAACCCTGAAACCCTCAACTGCTGAACCCCACAGGCCCTTACCCCTAAGCCCTTAAATTCTCCCAAGCCCTAACGCCAAAACCCTAAACCCTCAATAAACTACTAAACTCGTATAACTTAGACCACCAGAATCCCCCAAACCCACCAGGCCGCAAAGTAGTTCCTTTTTGGGCTTATCTTATAGGACTCTAAATATGAACCACAAAAAGGAACTACTATGGGGCCTTCTAGGGCCAACCCAGGGCCCGGCCTCCCCCAGTTAACGTTGAGACCCCGGGCGTCGATCCGCATGGAGGGCCAGCTGCTCTCGTCGCAGCCTGCGTTCCAATCCTGGATCTTTCCCTAAGGCTCAATATGCGCATATAGTAGGTGCTTAATATAAATATACATGCCCTAAGGCTCCATGTGCCCATATAGTAGGTACTTAGGCCTTTTCTAGGGGTTATATGGCTACTTGAAGGCCTAAGTACCTACTGTATCGGTACATGGCGCCTTTGGGTTTAAAGGTGGCAGCTTATAGGTTTCGTAGTTCTTTTTTGGGGTGGTTTCTCTTGAGGTTTTTTAACCTTAACTTAAGGCTAATTTTGCCGCTTCGGGTTATGCTCTGTCCTTCTGGTTGTTTTTGTTGTAATAACCCTACGGCTCCAAGTATACAAATAGTGCCTACTTTGGGGCCGAAAGTCCATATGTAGTACCTACTTTGGGCTATTTGGAGCCCCAGGGTAAATATTTGAAGCTCAGGGCTAAGTCTAAGTGGTGTAGTCCAGAGTTGTTTTTGTAGATGAGGCCTGGTTTCTTGTTCTTTACATGGATAAGTTCCTCTTCTGCGGTTTATGAGACGCTTGTGGCTAGGGTTGTGTTTCGTAGCTTAAGTCTGTTTTTGTAGTTTAGAGTTCCCTTTGCTAGGTTAGGGTTGTTCTGTGTAGTGAAGTTCTATTTGTGGCTGAGGCTAAGTTTGTAGTTTACGGTTCTGTTGTGTAGTTTATGATTTGTCTTGCCTGTGTCCGTCTCTCCTCTTCCAGCGCGTCACTGTGTAGTAGCAGTGCTTATTTATCTAAACTTTAAAATCAACACCCAGACGGGTTTTAGGACTTTTGAGGGGGGTTTATTATTTCGTGCCGGCCGAGTTTCGCTCTATTTAGGGGGCCTCTAATCATCACGAGCTCACATGAATCTCACTCATTGTGCAGGCCCTCTATTTTAGAGTCTTTTTAGTTAGGGGGCCTCACGATTTCTCAACTCCGGAATATCGCTGAGCTCAATTCCAAAGCTTGATGTAGCATTAACGGGCTTCCATAAGTCACAATATGTTTGTGTTCTCCGCAGGGACGTAGGGAGGCAGGAACGATGGGTTTGCAGCCAAGCAGCCGTAAAGCCGCGGACCAAGATGTCAACAGCCATCTCCACGGAATCAATCACTGTGTTCCTGGAGCTCTTTTCGTCTTGGTGCGTGTCTGCTTCTCTTTCCCTAAGGGTCCATGTACTCCTATAGTACATACATTGGCCTTAAAGTAAGTACTCCCTATATAGGTACATTGGGCCCAAAGTATATGCTATATGGGCCCTAAGGCTCCATGTACCCATATAGTATATACTTGGGCCTTGAAGTACCTATATAGGGACCCCTTTAAGGCTTAAGTATCTACTATAAAGGTACATGGAGCCTTTGGGGGGTACATGGACCCTTAGGGTTTGTCACGGGCTGACATTGTCTGGAGTTTATAGCTCTTTCAGGGCTTGGCTGTTTTCTGCACCGGAGAAGCCCATACTTGGAGGATCATGGGACTTAGTAGGTAAGGGTATATGTACCTTTATTGGGGTTATTAGTAGGTAAGGGTATATGTACCTTTATTGGGGTTATAAGTATAGTTACCCTGACAATAACCTTAGTTACTAAGTCCCATGACCCTTTAAGTAGTCAAGAAACTACGCCCGCGTTCGGCGAACTATCATGGGCTGTTTTCGCACACGGGGCCAGAATCCGCAACAGTAGGAACTTACAGCTAAGTCGCTGGATTTCTTGAAGCTGACTGCCTTATAGCCAGGCTATACATGCAGGGGGCCGCACAGAAACTGGAAGAGCCTCACAACCGGACATGTGCAGTTGAAACAACTCTCATGCACCAAAACTATGTGACCTAGCACGGGCTTACCCTAATGTTGACTTGATCCTCCACCCCAAAATTATGACCCTGAGTCCTGAAGCACAAACCATGCTTAAGAATGCAAACACAGGTGCGCCACGAAGGACACCTGATCAGCAGCGGCTTCATAGGCATCACCTGACTCATCTTTGATGCTTCTGCAGGGCTGATAGTGGTGGAAAAGGTTCGGGGTCTGCGGTTAATGTGCGTCGCATCCCGTCAGCATCTAGTGTTCGGGTAGGATCCTGACTTTCGGATTTATGGCTTATATAGTAGAACTCACCGAATTATATAACAAGTACACACTACCGCCTCTCCCGACGACGTGGGTCGCAGCCGATGCAAAGTCTCAGGTCATCCCCCTAAACCCTAAACCCAAAATCATCCCCAAGCTCGACCTACCCAGAGGCCCCAAAGTAGTTCCTTTTTGGGAGCCCCAAAAAGGAACTACTTTGGGGCCTTTGGGTAAACATAAGGGCTGAGTACCCTAGCCCGAAAAGGTAAACTTATTCAACTCCTTTTTGTTTTAAGTGTAGCGCTAGTGCACCGCTCCTTTGACTCCAAAAGACAAAGGGTTTAGGGTTTTGGGGTTTAGGGCTTTGGGTTTTTTATCACCAAAAGGTTAAAGGATACCTACTCAGCTACTAAGTAAACCGAAACTCAAGAGCCGGACCCCGAACCCGAAACCTTCCACCTAGCAGCCTCCGCACTGCATCCCAGACCCGACAACCTTTCACACTAAGTATTACAGTAGAAACCCAAAAGTTGGAAACCCAATAGCCCGGATCCTTAAGCGCAATTTATAAGGAATCCCAGCACTATTTGGCCTTAATGCAGTTTCCAACTTTGTGGGGTTTTGTTGTATAGTTGTATAATCCTGAAGCCCTAAACATCCTTCTAAAAATGGAAAACAAGCTTGCGAGCCCTAAACACATTCTGTGCCTAGAGCATCGCCGACGGATCCTCCGACTTCTTCGGCTACCTGGGTTTAGGGTTTGCCCTAAGGCTCCGAAAGGGGTCATGGGCTTTCTGGGTGAGGGGTTCGGGCTTGGGGGGCCAAGGTTTGGGATCTGACTGCGAGGGTCCAGGAGCCTCAGGGTGGGGTTCAGGGTTCAGGTTTTGAGGTTTCAGGCTGTAATTGTCAGGATTCTACTCGCAACGGCCCAACTACTCAATAATTAAGGCTCCTGGGTTCAGAGGGGCAGTACTTGTGTGCACTCTCGGGATTTGAAGGAGCATAACACGAGGACTATGAGGTGATTAGTTCCAGGTATTTGGACCCGTAGGCAGTACCCTAAGGGTCCATGTACCCAAATAATATATACTTTGGCCCCAATGTACCCACAAAGGGACTAATTCGATTTGGGTCCTTGGGCCCGTAGCCATTAATGCACCCTGGATTAATCTTCGGTTGGTTCTGTAATCCGCAAGATATCTCCGGCTGAATACTCTAGCCCAACAATGGTTAACCTTTTCATTTATGGTAGGATCATATAAGCCCGAACAGGTCAAAGGTTAGCTACTCAGCTACTAAGGATATGGTATAGTGATTCCTGCTTGGAAGGTTGCAGAAAGGCTGTCTTTGGGGTTTAGGGTTTGGGGTGTTCTGCCCCTCTTCCTCAACGTTATGGACATGCTCATCCATCATCTCTAAACCCAAACTCCCAAGCCCGTCCAACCTCTCGCTATTACCCTACATGCGGTAGGCCCCAAACATTCAAAGGCCCGTCAGCCTACACCCGAAACCTATTGCTACTACTGAGGCGGCCGCCCCTGCCTCCCTACAAAAAGACAAAAAACAGCTTTCACATTTGTGGCACGGCTGCATCCACGATTGGGTCGGCCCATTTGGCGGTGACAGCATCGTCCAAAGAGTCGTCGCTAGAGTTCGCCTGCACAGATCACAGGCTTAGACACGTTGCTTCTTAATATCCTTCTTAATATCCAGGGCATGCATCTTTACGAAGTTGAGTTTAGGGCTGTTAGTCTTTAGTTCTTGGGGCTTTGCGGCGCTAGAGTTGCGGGGCTGAGGTTTCGAAAAACTCCTGCCTTCTGCTTCCGGTGCTTGTGGCGCTGGATGAGCGCTTCGCCCACATCTTTAGCATTTCCTGCTGGATTCCCCGAAAACCCTACACCCTGAACCTTGTCCAAGGCTTGAGAAGCAAACCAAGTTCCACCCAAAATGTGTGTACCCAAAGGCCCCAAAGTAGTGCCTTTTTGAGGTTCATGTATAGAATCCTATAAGGTAATCCCAAAAAGGAACTACTTTGGGGCCTCTGGGTAGTGGAGCCCGTAGAGTCCTTCACAGCAGGCATTTAAAAACTGTAATGGAGGGGAGCTGCAGTCTGTCGATGAACTTTTTGCTTGGAGGTTCAGGGGTAGTTATAACTAGGGTTATAAGTCTCCTAATATGGGCTATAAGTATAGTTACCCTACTTCTTATAACTTGTAACTACCCATGAACCTCCAAGTGGGGGTGAAGCGGTTCAGGATTTAGGGTTTCAGGGCTTGGGGTTTGCAGTTTTGCTCTGCTTTTGAAGTGCGGAACGGCTGACGGTCTTGCTCCAACACCTGGGTACGAGAGCAGTGTCCGGGGATCCCGGCGAGTATTATCACATTAACACATGAAAACATACCTATATGTGTATGTGTATATTTAATTATATGCTATTGCTATGAATATGGTTCTTATTATTACTACTAGTATTGGTGTTATTTACATATATGTATATGTATACACATACACACAAGTGTGCATACCTACTTGCCGACCTGCCTGCCTACCAGACCTAGACATAGACACAACATACTGTGTACACATAGATACGCACATACACAGATACATAGACACGTAGGCATAGACATAGATAAGTACAGCTACATACACATAGATGCAGATATATATAGAAAGACAGATAGATAAAGCTGCCCTCCCACATGTTGCTCCAGTCGCTCCTGTCTTGCTGACCGGAGCCGCTGGGGTTGCAGCCGCTTTGGAGGAAGGCGTCACAAACTCGCGCTTCTCCCGCTGATGGTTGTGCTTGTGCAAGACTTTCTTTAAAACCTCCTGCGCCTGCAGAGCCTTCGATTCCTCCTTCGCTCTCATCTCAACTGTGCTTGCTGTGGTCTCATTCTTTTTCACACAGCTGCAGCCCCTCAACTCGTTGATCTCCACCTGTACTTAAAGGATCATGGGACTTGGTAACTAAGGTAATTATTGGGGTAGCTATACTTATATAACTACTTATATCCCCAATTAAGGTACTTAGAACCTTACTTACTAAGGCCCCTTGATCCTTTAAGTAGCATTTCAAAAGGACATCGCAGACCACAGAAGGCAGCCACTTCTCCTGCCTGCTGGAGCTCCACAATGGTTTCGAGCTGTGCCAGCTTGAGCATCCTGCATGAAACCTAGAAACCTAAACCCTAAAGGGAACTCCAGAAAGTTGGAATATGGATGGATGGTAGGATCCCCTATAATTTACCTTCAAGGGGTTACGATAATGATATTCCAACTTTCTGGCTTTACTTTAAACCCTAAAGCAAGAAGGCATCGGCAGCCGACTAATCGACACGATGCGATGTTCGCAAGAAGCTGAGAGCCTGGCATGAACTCCAAGTTGGCACCCAGCTGTCCAAGGCCATGTCGCCCTTGTGTGTCGTTGGTGACGTTGTCGAGGTCAGGAAAGGACTTGGCCTCCCCGAGGTCATGCTCCAGATTGTCCATGATGATGTTCTCCAAGCTGCTGTTCCTGCTCACGTTCGCGCCTTCGGTCATGTCCATTGGGATGTCGATAACCTCCATCGCACCCCCAACCCTCAACGTTATAAGCCCTACAAGACCAATACGCTCTGTATAAGCTCTAAAACCGACTATACTTTAAACCCCTTCAAGGTACCCTTAATGGAGCCATGCATTTCCTAACTAGTACGGCCTCTATAGCAGCCCGTTGAAGGCTTCTGTAGGAGCCCTTCCCAAAGGGTCCGAAGTACCTTTACAGTAGAATGTCGGGTTTCTAAACTAGGGATTACTATTATGATTTGGGGAAGTATGCCCCATAACAGTACCTAGGACCCTTTGGGCTTGAAGGATCGGACCAAAAACTAACCTTCATAGCTACTATCCTAAACCCAAATACCCAATTATTGGATCCTTTGGACCCTAGAGCCCCTAAAGTAGAAAAAGTAATGGCCCAAAACCTAAACAAGGCTATTATTCTACATACTTTCGGGGTCCAGGTAGGACACATAGCTACTATCCCAAATCCAAATACGCAATTATTGCACCCTTTTGGTTTCCTCCTGTAACCGAAAGGACCTACCTTTTTAGGGTTCCTTACTATGGTGTCTATATACAGTATAGTTCCTTAAAACGTTATATAGGTCGTTTCGGCTACAGGTTGGGCTTGAAGGATTGTTTTGGGCCATAAACGCCTAAACCCTAAACCCCTAAACCCTAAATCCCGAAACCCTAAACCGGATCGGAGGACCTCCGTCGCGCTGCGGGCTGTTTCAGCCTTCACGGCCAGGAGAGCCTTGGCCAAAGCAGGGGCGCCATCGCCAGGCGAGGATCCCGAGTCCGGGCAGCTTCCTGTCCTTACTGCAACGGTTTAGGGGTTAGGGTTTAGGGGTTATAGGGTTTAGGGGTTATAGGGTTTAGGGTTTAGGGTTTAGGGTTTCGGGTTTCGGGTTTCGGGTTTAGGGTTTAGGGTTTAGGGCTTAGGGTTTAAGGTTTGAGGGTTAGGGCTTAGGGTTTAGGGTTTCCGGTTTAGGGTTTAGGGCTTAGGGCTTAGAGTTTAGGGTTTTAGGGTTTCGGGTTTAGGGCTTAGGGCTTAGAGTTTAGGGTTTCGGGTTAAGGGTTTATAGTTCAGGGTTTAGGGTTTAGAGTTGTAGTCCTTACCCATAAGCCAAAAGTAGTTCCTTTTTGGGGATTACCTTATAGGACTCTAAATATGACCCACAACAAGGAACTACTATGGAGCGTTAGGGTACTTAGTTGTAGCGTATCTTAGCAGAACGCAACGTTGACCTTTGGAATAAAAAAGAACAAAACCATAGTACCCCCAGAAAGTTAAAGGTTACCTACTTTACTACAAGGTAACTTTATGTTTTCAATACCAAGGGAGATCACAGGTCAACCTTTCAGAGTACTAGACTATATATACCAAACCCATGAGCACATGACCCTAAACCCAAAAATCATACACATCCCAAACTAAATTGATCTCAGATGTAGCCAAAACTGATTGGAAATCTAGGCGTCTGTGCCTGGCCAAGAATGGCCTGGCCCAGAAATCCCAGGCATAGCATCAACCTGGACTGTAGAGCTGGAGCTAAAGCCCTGCAACTCACAAAGAACCAAATAACCAAATAACCCTAAGGCTCCATGTACCCATATAGTAGGTACTTAGGCCTTCAAGGGGTCCCTATATGGCTACTTTAAGACCTAAGTACCTACTATATGGGTACATGCAGCCTTTGGGTAAGCTTCACTAGGGCCTTTTGAGGATGGTCAGAAGTCGGACGAGTGCACTCTCAGATGCAGCCCACTATAGGTTTTAGGGCTCCGGTTAAGGGTACATGTACGGTACCTAAGCAGGCAATATGTGCTGGCCTTCAGGGGGCTGCTGTGTAGGACGATTCGGGCGACACACATTTGTAGAGTTCCTGTCATGCCTATTAGAAGCCCTCAAACTCTACGCTACGTTCTGAGCCCCATAAACCAGCAACCCTAAACCCCAATTACCCTAAACCCTAAACACCGGAGCCTGAAACCCTCAAGCCTAAAACACCCTAACACCCCATCACCAAGGCCCTATGGTACACCCTAAAAGGTTGGAAATCGGCTTAAGGACACTTAGTGCTGTGATACCCTATACATGACTCTTAAGGGTTGAGGATATTGGGTTTCCAACTTTCGGGCTTCTACCCCTAAACCCTAAACCCTAAACCCCTGAAGCCTAAACCCCTAAACCCCTAAACCCTAAACCCCTAAACCCTAAACCCCTAAACCCTAAACCCCTGAACCCTAAAGCAAGGCCCTTGTAAGCTATTCGAAGGCTCGATCTCCTCTAACCCTGGTGTACTTGGAGGATCATGGAACTTAGTAAGGTTCCTTAAAGGGCTCCTTAAAGGGATCTATAGGGTTCCTTACAAGGGGATCTATAGGGTGTAGGGTCTACTTGGAGGATCATGGAACTTAGTAGATATGGGAGTTTCCGAAAATGGGGGTACCTTATTTTGGGGGGTCCTTATAATAAGGATCCTACTATTTCGGGTACTATATTGGGGTCCCCTGTTTCCGGAAAGTCCGATATAGTCATAAGGGTCTTAAATCTGGGGATATTAATGAGCACCTATTAGTATGGTTACCCCAACAATAACCTAAGTTACTAAGTCCTTTACGCAGACATAATGGTGAGCATACAGAGCGATCCTTCGAATTGTGTTGAATCTGAAAACTAGTACCTACTCTGCGTAAATGAATCTCCCAGCAACATGGAAAGGCCCTTGGGCCAGGCGGTTATGGGACACTCCGCTGTCATTGCGTCAGCGGAGAAGCGTTAGGGTCGGAACAAAGCCCGAGCTCTTGAAAAAGGGCAACCTTGAGCCGAGACTGAAATGGCAACCATGGATTGTCCAGGACCGCCCTAAGCCCTAAACCCGGAAGCTATGGGGGATCTTATCGTTTCTTATACAACACCATACCCAAAAACTGAAAACCCTAAACCTAATGACCTAATGGGGATCCCATGGGTAGCTCTCTAGATCCTCTGTTCGATCTTAAACTCCAAAACCCTGAAACCCCAAACCTAATGAGGATCTCACAGTCTTTCAAACAACTCATAAAGGAAAGCTCCGGCTCTTGAAAGAATGTTTGAACTGACGGCTTAAGGCTCCAGGGTTGAGGAGCTCCACTGCATGTGCCCCAAATTTCAGGGTTTGGTGTGTAAGGTTTAGGTTTAGGGAAGGCTTGGCGTTTACGGTTAAGGGCTTAGGGAAGGTTTGGCGTTTTGGGATAGGCTTTAGAGAGTTGAGGCCCGGGTAGGGACAGGTGGACAGGTGAACTTTCGGGAGGGCTCCGCTGGTGTAGGCGATCGAAGAACGAAGCATGAATGTTCGGTCAACTTCCTACGGGTTATGGGGTTGGAGGCTCCTTCAAGCCAAAGTTGGTGCCTGGTCTCCGGAATGGTGGTGGGTTTAGGGTTTAGGTTCGGGGGCACAGTCACAACCACTTCATGTGCTTTCGAGCAGACCGCAAAGTGGGGCTCACAGCCGTCGTTCTTGGTACACCTTCCTTTGATCTGTAAGGTCTCGGCTGAGGGTCTAGGGCGCGAGAGCTGGGTCTTTAAAAAATGTGTTGAGTTTTGAGTTTAGGGTTTAGGGCAGAGTTTAGTTTATAGGGTTCTTGGGCGACGTGTACACAGCCTATATGTAAATGCTGCGCCCAGTCTACAAGATCAGGACGCAAACAGGCGTGTTGTACCCTGGACCGACGCATCAAGCATTCCTGGAAGGGCCCAAAACACAGTGATTTCGTGACTGCAGGCTAGTACTTAAGAATGTATAACTGTATGTCTGTGTATACAGCTATGGAATGCCGTCTGAACTTTGGGTGTCGTAACATCAAACACAAGTAGCTGCCAACACTAAGAGCCCAGCGCATGCGCGATACTGAACCACGTCCTTGCAGAAGGTCAACTGGCTTTGGATGTTTGCGACCTGCTCCGGACGGATGTGTGGGTCTCAGGACAAGTTCAAAAGACATGCAAGCCTGACTTCAGAGTTGAACACTTAGAGGTAAGCATGGACTTTCGAATCTACGGGGGAGGAGTTGATGTGCGGTCCGCGCTATTGACACGATCGGGGACATGCACATGCATGTTCAATAGTGCTGGATGGACAACTATGCTCCAGCACATGGTCACATACCAAACATGCATGTTGTAAGGCCTACGTGCACATCGACATCATGCTGTCTATTCGAGTCCTTCCCCGCGGATGCCTACCACCTCACCCCCAACCCGCACAGCACTAAGAGTGCTTCTGGTTTGTGGCTTGCGGTGGCTCAGACTTTTGTATGCTGGCGAAGCAGGGCAATCTCATTCAGAAAACTCGTCCGGATGGCTTGGCCAAGCTTGCGAATCCGAATCATGCAGTCTTCTGAGACATCATGGCAAACTCGACATCAAGGGTATAGCGAAAGATAATTTTCAATAGCCAGCCGGTACGAGTATGTTTCGAAACTGGGCCACAATGACATAATGACACAGGAAAGAGCCGTGTCTCCAAACTTTGCACTTGCCGCACCGACAACCAAAAACCTCAAACCCCTAAACCCTCGAAACCCTAAACCCTCAAAGCCTTCAACCCCCAATGCCTCATCGACACAAACTCCGTTCATACGGTCGGAGCCGGCAGGGAGCTCGCAAGCGGCACCTGCTAAGCAGTGCTACATTGTCTGCCAAGTATGATCTGGTACGATATAGTATGTGATAGTATAGTATAGCCTAGCATAGTAGAGGAGAGTATAATACCGTATGATTCATATTGATCTATGGTATGTAATTAACGCATAATCTAATATAGTCTATAGTATGGGAGCCTCCTGCGCGAGAACAAACTGCATGCTGTCTCGCGCAGCTTCCGCTACAGCATTAAGGAGCGATCCGCTGGGAAACCAGCGTGTTGCCTTTCTTTGCGCTTCTCTGGTATGCGGGCTTCTTCAGATTAGGTACATAAAGGCCTCCTGTTCATGAGGATCCATCATGTTAGGGTCTACAGGGACCTGATCTTGTCAAACGCCGGAATGATCAACTCAGGCAGTTGCCCTAGTTAGCGACCCTGAAACCCTAAAGACACTTCGGAGCCAGAGGTAGAACTCGAAAACACTTACCGTTTTCGTGTAACTATTCGGGACCCTTTGCCATCCCAATTCTGTCCACCGTTCCGGGCCTGTGAGATGCCGGGACCTCAAGCAAGTCACCAAGCACAGGCAGGACTGGTCACTACGCAGGCTTGCAGGTGTAGGGTCTGCCACCAGGTCCCCATAGCAGGTATTTAGTGGGTATGCTCGAGGGTGGCTGGGGGGCCTAGGAAAACTTGGGCGGTACGGACCTCACAGCGGTACACAACTTGGTGCCTGTTGAAGATATGAGGCCTGTCAGAGGACTGAACATACACAAAGAGGCAAATCTTCGCTGCCACCAAATCACCAAATAGCCCCAAGCAGGTATACATCTTGACTGTTGGACCCAACTTGGGTGTTGTTCACAGATCTAGACCGGATCCCCTGGGGTAGAGAGACGCGAGACCTATCAGGTCCCTTCATTCATTCGGTCTGCTTCGTTAGGTTTCGCATTGAAAGTGCCAGGTTTCAGATGTGATCATGCATAGACCTCGACTAAAGTAGGCACGTCCAAGAGAAGGAAGAATGACAGCTAGTTGGCGAATATTTCGTAATATGCTGCTCAAGCTAGGTTCACCGACATGCACATGCAATCAGTCGATCCGCTGTCTTCGGCACACTTCAGCAAGCCCCTAAACCCCAACTCCTATAATCCCTAAACCTCTTGGTTTTCAGGTTTCCTGTCGACTCGAAGTTTAGGCGGAACACAAAGCTTTGGCAGGATTGGGGATTTGAAGGGTTGCAGGTTTTGGCCTTTGGCACTTGGGGTTTAGGGTTGGCGGGCTTAGGGTTTAAGGTTGTCTTGTCGGTGGCCTGCGCCGTCGCGGATCTTAGGCTTTTAGCATTCGTTGCATTTTCAAGGTTGGAGGTCTTGTCGTATTGCAGGGTCGCACTGCGGTTCAAGTGCATTAGATACTTACATCTTCGAGGCCTTCGGGAGTCAAACAAATCTCCTGTTTATCAACAGCTTCAGCGGTGCTGAAAACCCTCAGATCTAGGCTTATTAGTTTCGTGCAGTACAGCGCAAATAATACAGGAAATGGCGATCATTCCGGGATGCTCTCGTCACTGAAAAACTCCGCTCCGGCATTCATGAGTCAGGTTGAGGGTGTTGTGAATAGCTTCGCTTCAGGGTTGTGAGGTGCAGTATGCTAGAGTATACTGGCATTATACATTCTCTTCTTTTTATCAATGGAACCGTGGTATACTATATAGTACACTGCAGTACGGCCTTCTGAAATACTCAACACTGCTTTCTGCTTTTTGTCGGCTGCGCGCTTCTGGTGCAAGCTCAAGGTTGGAGGGCTTAAAACCCAGCGGCCACACCCTGATCCCCATAGCACTATATAGAAACATTCTCGTACTAAAAAATAACGCTATGATATGTTTGTCGTAGTATTATCGTATTCGACTACTGTAGTACTATGGTACCATTGTAGTACTATAGTACTAGACTACTATGTTAGCATTGTAGTATTCCTTTGCTGAAGGCCACCACACCCTTATGGTTCTGACCTCGAGACCCAAAGCCTGAGCAGTCACATTCCTAAATGGGCTTAGGGTTTCAGGGTTTAGGGTTTTTAGGGTTTATAAGGATTTAGGATATAGGGTTTTAGGGTATAGGGTTCAGGGTTTTAGGGCTTTAGGGTTTTAGGCTATTAGGGTTTCGGGTTTAGGGTTTTAGGGTTTAGGGTTTTAGGGCTTAGGGTTTTAGGGGTTAGGGTATATCCCTGGCCTCTGGTGAACCATTTTTTTCCTTGCAACTGAGGGATGAATTAGCGGCGGCCTTGGGATTTGCTGCTGACTGATACGGTTGATGCTATAAGCCCTGCATTACCTTAATGACACTAGACTATGGGATCTATGGTATTTTCCTTATTATGGGGAATGCGGGATTTACATCATCGACCGTACCTCCTACAACTTCCTACGTTGCTGCTGCTTGCTGTTGCTGCTCCTTCGGGTCCCAAGGAAAACATTTACGACTATCAGAGCTGCAGCTGCATGGACCCTCTACCCAAAGGCCCCAAAGTAGTTCCTTTCTGGGGTTCATATATAGAACCCTATAGGGTAATCCCAAAAAGGAACTACTTTGGGGCCACTGGGTAGACCCTAAACCCTTTCTGCTTAAGCTCCTGAGCGGCCGAAGGGGGCCGAAGCGATCGGATACTCTATAAGGCTTTCGTTGGGTTTACGCTTCCAAGGGTTTTGGGGGCTTTATGGCTTTTGGGTTTAGGGGTTTAGGGCATCAAGGGGCATTCTGCAGCGTAGAAATCAGCATCCCGTGCGCCAGACGCGCCCGAGGCCGGCAGGGGCATGCAATAAAGTTTCATGCGCTCATCGGTCGACAAGCAGCATGGCTGTGGAAGATTTCTGCACCTTGCGGCCCCCCAGCACAGTACGTTCGAAAGTCGCAAACACTACAAGGCCCTAGCCTTATAAACCCTGTACACCCCAAACTCGATGATGCGATCAGTAGGAGGGCCTTGGAATGCTAAACAGGGCCTTTGCGTCTCTTCGATGGATCCTAAACCCTAAACCCTAAAGCACCCTAAGGCTCAAAATGGTCCACAGCCTTCTAGAATAACAGGCCCAGAAGCCTATAAGTATGAGTCCTTAGAGCCTTAGGGTTAGGATGGGTTTCGGCATGACTGCATGCCTAAGGGTGCAAGTCCGACAAATCCAAAGATTTCAGCCCCCCCCAAGGGCTGACGGAGCTTTGGTTGACATTTCCGTATCTTTCCCTGCATCTTCGACCGCTGAAGCCTCGGCCCTTTGAGATCGCGCCTCCTCTGCGTCGTGTGGATGGGCGTTGGGGCATCCCTGCCGGAAGCAACTATAGCGGAAGAAAGCGGGTCCGGGGGCCCGCATGGGTCCTGCCCTTGGTCGAACATCCTTCTTGAAGCTTCTCCGGCTTAATCTGATCAACATGGCATGGTGCCTATCACGAACTGCCTGGGCTTGAACAGAGCCGTATAGGGGCTGCAACACTTGTAGTATGCTCAAGTGCAGTAAATAGTATACGATGCAAAGCCTGAGTCTTGCAAAGTGTACATTCTGCGGACTACCGGGTTCCCCCAACATCTCGTGGCGAGGGTATCGCAAGACAGGGAAACACGTACGTAGTAGATACTCGTGTGTGGTATGCACAAAAAGCGAAATTAAAGTGTTGCTGCAGGGCGCAAGATGCATTCGCAATTTAACGGGTTGTACTGTATATGTTGTATATATACTCATAGCCCTCGCAGCCGCTGCTTACCGTGGTTCGTCTGTTCATGCGAACACCTCTTGTTTACAAACAAAGCCACTGCGTAAATCTATAGCTCTTGCGCGTAAAGTCTTGTATTTAAAACAACATATATAAGGATAATGTTTGTGTGGGAGTTGAGACTCTTGTTGAACTGCGTCCTTACCGTAATTAAGAGTCCCTACCGCACCCCCTCCCCCGCCTTCGCCCGGCCCCGTAAGCTCATAAATGCCATGCAGGATATGGAAAGACAGGGCCCGAGGCCTCTCTGTTTGTTTCTTAGACTCGTGATGACAGCTGTACATTGACAAGAAAGATAGGTTACATTTAATTAAAAGAAACTGAAGAGACTCCTCATCCGATATGTTGGCTAGCTATCACACAACATGGATTAAGCATTTATAGGGCTTGGGGTGCAGGGCGGGGTGCCTCCTTTATGAATTCAAGTGTTACAGTATGTATTCTTATTATGGAAACAGTCGTCGCGCATGAAATGTAGAGTAATTGAGACACCTTGTATTGGGCAACAATTTTCGTAATCAACAGGGACCAAGTAAGGTTTTAGGTTCAGAAATGACAAAACATTAACGCATTAGAAGCACAATGGTTTTCTCTGAACTCCAGGTAGGTTAAAAATATTAAATATTATGTTTTCTACAAGGCATCTATAATAAAATACAATATGCCAGCGTAGACCCCGAACAGTGAGAGACCACATGGGTATACGAAACAGCACTCCAAGACCATGCCAAGCGCTCCAGACACGCGGAGCACGACGACGACCACCAAAGACACCAGAAGACCATGAGACGAGACCCCATGAGACCAAAAGGAAATCACTTAGGAGATCACCAGGAGACCATGAAGGCCGAATCCACGCAAAGGGTCGTCATTCGTTTCAAAACGCAACTCCCCCTCCAGGTTTGGCGCTGCGACACAACGACTCCATGCAGAGGGTCGACACGTTCGAGGAGCCGAAAGTCCTGCGCCTGCCAATGAAACCGACGTCTCGGCCGCACCCAAGACGTCGAAAAACGACACCGCACGTGTGGGAGCAGTATGATTCTCGTCGGAAATGTAAGCACTCCTCGAGGACTTGCGTCCGCACCACGCGCGTCCGGCAGCAGCGCCGGCCCGGCACAGCAATCTACATTTCCTTTATACTCTTGACGTAGGAACCCCGAGTGGATTGGGGAAAAAACCTACTTATCTAGACCCCCGACACCGTTTCCGTACATACCTCCTGTTTGGACACCCCACGCACAGTGTTTCCGTACGGAAGGCACGGGAGGCGCCTGGAGCGGTTCGGGGTTCTACGGCGTCCCAGAGGAGCGTTGCTTATGCATTCCAGGAACTTGGAGGCCTCAGTTGAGGCCATTAGCATGCTATAAACTCACCGGCACTCGGGGGGTCGGCGGATACACTCCTTTCTGGAACGAGCTCTTATAATCGCGACAAGCATGTGATCAGCACCGAGAATACTGCGAGCAGATAGCACCTTGTCCAAGCTGCATAAGCATTGCGAGCGTAGCATGCATGCGTTTGCTCTTCTTTAGGAATAGGGGCAGGTTTGGTATCTGTTTTGAAGGTCTGTATCAGTATTTTCGTATGTTGAAGCAACTTTGTGGTAGCTTCTTCTGTAGATTGGGTTCAAACCTTTTCCGGTTTGTTTGGAATAGCTTGAATTGTAGAAATTGTCAAATGCTAGTAGCGCGTAGGCATTTGCCTAGTTGTGTTTCCACCATCGTAATTCTAATTTAGCAGTACTTTACCTTGGATATCGGAAGTTCCTGCGCAGCATGTGCGTATACATATGCATGTTGTGTCTAGTGTCTATAGAACATACTGACTTAATTATACTCGCCCTATAGATCCTCAACCCAAAGCCCTAAGCAGAAACTACTACTCCCTAAATCCCAGGACTGCCTGGAAGGGCACATTCCAGCTCGGGTATGGAGTCAAGAAAGGATGTGGCTGCATCGGCAGCAGACCAGCTGGGTCCATCCTCCGGCTGTTGAGCCCTCCTAGGGCCTAGGGCTTCATGTAAGCGTGGCTGTTCACTTCAATTTGTGTTGAAGGGCTCTAAAGTCTTGTATGTTACCATGCAGATGCATGAGAAAGCGATGGCATGCCACATTAACTCTGTGCGAAAAACCTCCATCGCTGTGGAAGCTATCGCGCACGTCTTCCACCACACGGTCTAATCGCACTGTCGTGTAGTTTCTCTATACACCGTGCTCTACACTGTCAGGCAGCGCCAACCGGCTCCAATACACCTCAACACAGCCGCTCTCGGAAAGATACTGGTAGCACCGTCTGCCCAAACACCGTCTCAACGATAGACCATGGACCCTCAAAGCTTCTAACCGCCGTAAGAACCGTAAGAAGCATAAGCTCTTCGGAGCATGGCACGTAGTGCAGTAGTGCTTATAGGGTTGATATTGGGTTTAAGGATCAAAAACCCGTAAAGCTCGGCTACACTCGACGCCATACTCAATGCAGTCAGCCGGGCGGCGCTAGGGGCCACCGAATCTGCATGCAGAAGTGGCTGCGCAGATGTTAGCGGCGCCTTGCCCCCAAAAACCCTCGACAGATCTCGACAGCCCGAGCCTTAAACTAAACCTTTTCGACCATTTACGTATAATGTGGTGTCCTACAAGTACCCTGGACCAAAACTTTGGGCTTGAATAGTATGGTGTCAGTGCCAGGGTTTTAGGGCAAGGGGTCGGCTGATCAAGGTGGGGATTCGGGTCAAGGGAGAGTTTCGGGCTTTGAGGCCAAAGTTCCAGGGTTTGGAGGGGGGGTTTAGTTCTGGCAGTGGTCGAGGGTTTGGGGTTGAGGGGGGTTGATATTACGCTCAAGGGTCATGATTTGCTTTAGGCTTAAGCAGGCGGGGTTTCGGGGGAGTTTCGGGCTTCAGGGCCAGGGTTTTAGGGTTTGGACGGGGGTTTAGGTCGTGGGTGCCTTAAGATTGACCATCAGCAGACAGGAGCAACCACCCCACCAAAACAAACATACCCAGCCAAAGAAAACGCATGAATTAGGCCACCCGTTCATTTGGTGCGTGCCTGAATAAGGAAAAACGCATTAATTGGGGTCACCGGATTAAATGTGATGCCACATTACATGTAAGGCCACAAGCCCTACGCGACCCTACGAGCCAGCAAATCGTGTATACGTGTGTGTGTGTATATATATATGTATATATATATATATATTTCTATATTATATTCATCGCCAAGATCAAACTTTCGTCGCAATTGTCTAGGGCATCATGCGGCGGACGGGAAGTATCGACAACTGCATTTTACGTAGCTTGGCTAGCGGCGGAATTAATCCCCGGGAATACAACTACGAATTTTCCCGACGGGAGGACCGCGTAGAGGAGTCTACGGGGAAAAGGGGTTTGCAAGGTGTTCGGAAACATGCAGGGGAGCGACGACCCTTCGTCCTCCCGCAGCATATGTATACATATATATATATATATATATATATGTATATATTTATGTGTATATATATATATATGCATGTGAAGAATCTACAAGAAAAATAATGAGCCGGTAAGCCGAACGGTTTCGGAACCACGAGGAGGCGGTTTGCAAAGCAGAACCTTGGGATCTCTGTCGCACCTCCTCGATGGAGCTGCTTGGAACCCTTTAGGAAAGCTGTTGGAGCTCCCCATTGCCTTAATAACGGGGTCGCTGCTTCTCCCTGTGTCCCGAAATTCGCCCCATCCCGACTCTGAAACCTCAACCCAAATCATGCCGCCTCTGTGTCTGTCCCACCGCCTTCCTGCCAAACGTGGCTATAGTGGAAGGAAGGTTGCGGGAATCAGGGCTTGTAAGTTCAACTCGCACGGATACTGCTCTTCGTCCAGTCCTTTTTGAAGCTTCCGGGGTGTTTGTCTCGGCATCAGCAGGCTGTGCCAGTGGATAAACAAGACTGAGACATGGGCTGCATGCGCTACAGTTTCCAAACTGCAGTAGGATATGTACTCAAGTACACCGAATGAAATATACATTAGACAAAACTAAAAAGCTAGATCAGCGTACACTATGTAAACGGGTTGTTTCCTGCCCGAGCCCTTGCGGGCACAAGGCTTCACGAGGTCGGTACACGCCATACAGTATGCTCCATACAATTTTTTGTTTATATATATATATATAGAGAGTAGTAATAGGATTTCTGAATAGCATTCATTTAACCTTATGCAGCTTGAACTCTTGCATGCCTTCTTGCACCTAGAACTCTCCCCCACCTCGGCTGTTTCGGCCGACCGGGGTTGCGAGCCAGGCTCTTCGAAAAGGAAACTGTAGGCCATCCACCAGGATCCTGCGCAAAGGATGGTGTCTACCCATAGGTTCCATTGCCGGTCCTATTTCTGTGGCTCATATTTAGGATCCCATAATGTAGTCCCAAAATGGAACCACTATGGAGCCCTCTAGGTAGTATTCTGACGGGTACGTGGCCTAGCATGCAGCGTGCAGCACAGAGTATATATGGCTTACAGTACGAAGGTATGCATTGCCGTATCATGGCTGATAGGCACACAATGTTAGCAGATTTTGCGCTATACAATGTATGTAACATACGATACACTATGTAGACACGCGCAGACGTTACCGATTGTACATACATAAGACAGGGAAATATGTGTATATATATATATATATAATGTATATGTTTTTGGATTTGCATATCTATATCTAGCTATATATAAAATACCATGTATAAGGATGTTTGGAAGTATGGCAGGCACTGTTTTAAAACATGTAGAACCCCGTCTCAGATAGTCGCAGATAGATATGGCTGTACGCAGTGAGCCAGACTATGTATTGAGCTCTCATTTATCCGACTCGCTTCCTGTGAGCTGTCTGGTGGCAAAAGGTCCGAGCACGAAGCATGAGCTGTAGGGTTGTTATATGAGTGACAAGACACTATAAATAATGCTGTCCAAACTCTGCAACGTTGTACACTTCGAAGAACAGGCCCCAGGGGGTTAGCTGTATACAACAAGGGTCGCTGTCAGGCCTGCGTTCGTGCCCTCCATCTCTCCCTAAGGGTCCATGTACTCTTATCGTATATACATTGTCCTTAATTTAAGTACTCCCTATATAGGTATATTAGGCCCAAAGTATATGCTACATGGGTACATGGACCCTTGAACCCTAAACTCTATTTGGAGCCCGTATAGTATCCCTTATAAAGGATCCTATTTGGGTACATGGACCCTTAGGGTCTGCTCCTTTTAAAGTAGCAAGACGTGGAATCAAGGCAGCGGAGCTCTCGGATTTATGGCACCTACGTGGAGACTCAGGGGTACTTATAAGTAGGGATCATAGGGGTCCTTTAAAGGGATCTATGGGGATTCTATAAAAGTATAGGGTTTAGGGTTCAGGGGTATTTATAAGTAGGGTTATAAGTCCCCTATTATGGGTTATAGTTTTTAGCTTATAGTTCTACTTATAACTAAGCATGAACCTCCCAGTAGAGCTGCAACCCAACTTCAGTTTAGCCGAAGGGCCAAGATGCACCACGAGAAGAGCGCCGCCGTGGAAAAGCACCTCTACGGGGGCAGGGCCATGTGTATCCGGCATCACTCAACGGGTGCTACATCGGGGTTTCCGAAAACAGGGGACCCTAATATAGTACCTCAAATAATAGGACCCTTATTATAAGGACCCCCAAAAAGGGTACCCCTAATTTTCGGAAAGTCCCATATGAACAGTAAGGGGAAGGTGTAAAGAGGCGGGTCTCCGCGCCTGGGCAAATGCCGCCAGAGCCGTAAGGGACTGCTGCCAGTCGAAATCCTCTGGAAGGTCTCCCTAAGGGTCCATGTACCCATATAGCATATACTTTGGGCCCAATATACCTATATAGGGAGTACTTTAATGCCAATGCATATACTATAAGAGTACATGGACCCTTAGGGTCTGGGGCTGTCGCAGCCAGAGTGGGATAGGAAGAAACGTCAGGCAACGGCTTTGCACCTCGTTGCACCTCTGACATCCCCAAGGCCTTCAGCCCAAGTGCCCTTGTAAGGTTTGAATTAGGGGTCGTCTTCCCCTTCACGCCTGCAGAAGGTACGCCCAGAGCGCTGCAACGCAAATGCCCCCGGCAGTGGTCACCCCGAGCTTCCATGGCAAAGAGGTGCCTAAACGGCTTAAGGACGCCCAGGCAAGGGCACAAAGGCAACTCTCGCTAAGTCCGAGCGTGAGAAACCAGCACAGCATCCAAAGTAGCAGCTGCCATTCCCAGTGGAAGGTTCTAAAATAGTACTCGGCGAAGGGGCTTCGCCCACCGGCAAAGAGGACATCCATGCAAAGAAGGCTGGTGAGCGGTGCAGGAACCACAGAACTCTCTGCCACTAAAACAAACAAATATACGGCAATGAAGCCGGGGCGGGGGCTGCGGCAACAAAAGCGAAGCAACAAGAGGAACGCGTAACTCAGACTGAGGAGAAGCGGCAGCCCCAAGACAACTGGTAGATACCCGGGCGACTCTCTAAAGTGCCAAAATTGGTGGACCAACAAGCCCCAGCGCGCCGAACAGAGGAGGATCCAGAGTTCCACAAATGCGACGGCCAGAAAGGAATGAAACCACTTCCAGGCCTTGCCCACTCTGTGCCGGGCGGCTTCCATTTCGTAAAAGTTATCGAAATTGCAGGCCTTGAGCTTCGGGTCTCTGAGGAGCCAGCGGCCCTCCCAGATTTCGGGCAGGGTGAAACCCAGGCTGAGGACTGCGAAGAAGAGAAGCATCAGCACTTGCGTTGGCTCCGTGGTCATGACCAGGGCAGCATACAGCTGGACCGCGGTCGAACACATTACTTCAGTAACATCCCCAGCCTGGGCCCGTAACAGGCCTCGGGTCTTAAAGCCACGGGAATAGGAACGGTACCACTCCACGAGGCAATCGGCCTGGAGAGGGTCTCCTGTCGACGCCGCACTCCCTACCAAGCCCAAGCTGGCGACGACGAAGTAGAAGGGCTGGCCGTGGCGAAGGTAGCTGGCCTCGGTCTCGGCTTTTTTTTTCAAGAAAAGACTCCATCTTTGAGAAGGCACAAAAACTGAAGAGGCTTAATTAAGGCGGGTGAGTGTGTGTGTGTGTGTGTGTGTGTGTGTGTGTGTGTGTGTGTGTGTGTGTGTGTGTGTGTGCGTGTGTGTGTGTGTGTGGGGTGTGTGTGTGTGGTGTGTGTGTGTGTGTGTGTCTGTGTGTGTGTGTGTGTGTGTGCGTGCGTGTTGCTCTATAGCTGCCTAATGCATCCACAACAACAGAATTACGAGGTCTGGAGAAGGTGGTGTGGGAATGGTGAAGGGAAGAGCCACCAGGCTGACGACATCGAAGAAGGGCTCCGTGAGAATGCCGAAGAGGCTCACCAAGAGCTTGAAGCGCGAGGCTTCGAAGTCGGACCTCGCCTCGTAGCAGTACCGCCATGGGAGTCCTACATTGCCGTTTGCGAAGGGCCCATCGTCTCGGCAGATCTCTGAGTCTGGTGCCACGCACAAAGCCGTCGAGTCTCCAGATGCTGAGCTCATGTAGGTCCCCATGGCAAAGAGAATGCCTAAGAGGCGGTACATTAAGGCCGCGAAGGCAAGGAGCCATGCAATATCCCTTGCCCGGAAACCCACTTCTGCCTTAAGGCAGGCAGATGTCGCCTTGCGCTCCTCCGCGGCGCTGGTGTTGAGATCCGGCGCTTTCGACACCACCATACCAAGGTACATTATCCGAAAGGTAGTGCCAAGGCGTTGATGGCAGAACTCAAGGCAGGTCTGGGCGACCGTCTTGTTCTCGACCACGTCAGTGTCAATGATCTCTCCACACGCCTGCGCTGCCTCTGGTGGCGGATCCTGCAGCTGCTTCACGACGGCCTCCCCAAAGGAGCTGACATTCATGCTCTTGCATGTCAATGTCTGGTTCGGCGGTAGCAGAGCGATATCCGGCGATGCGACCAGTTGGTCCCCACATGCGGGGAAGAGAAAGGCCACTGGAAGACCGACCAGTACGAACCCAACCAGAAAGAGCAGAAAGGCCACGCAACAAGTCACCAGGAGACATCGAACGGCGTTTAGAGAGCGCTCCATAGCGACACGGATCCGAGCAAAGAGACCCCGAACTTCGCAGAACTGCCGACAAGCCTGGGTGGAAACGATGCCTGAAGCACCGACTTTGCCATTCTGGCCGAGAACTAGATATCGAAACACCACCCCCTTGACCACAAAACTGCAGGGAAAGCTGCTGGCTGCTACTTACGTGAGATTTCGTGAACATCCCCGTCCTTGATTACTTTACAGGGCCTGTTGTCCCAAAGAAGCTTCTGGGACGGCTGGCTTTGTACACCCGTCTTGCAGTCACAATGCTGATCATCATGACTGCTTCGGGAACCAAGGCGAGACTACAGGTTGCCGCATCGTTCGCTATCCTTCTGATTCTGACTATCCCCAGGGCTCCAGTTACCTAAATAGTAGGTTACTGGGGTATATAATACATGGTTAGTAACCCACTATTTAGGTAACTGGAGCCCTAGGGTATGGAAATGACACTACGGCAGGAAACCGCCATGACCGTCGTCATGATGATGATCATCGTCGTCAGCATCACACCATCTGGCATTTGTATCATCATCAGCATCGTGCCCCCAATCACAGTGCTGCAGTCATCGCAAGCACCATCGCAAGAACAAAGCTGTACGCGCATCATCATACTCATCTGGCTTCGATTCAACAAGCAGAATTAGCATTTGGCACCTGTCGCCAGTTTGAACACTTTCCCCTCCCGTCGTAGTTGCTGCCGCAGTTTCAAGACAATGCCTCGAGCAATATCAAGCCAAGTGTGGTACTCCCTGGGGTCTCGCGTAACCTTCAGGAACAAGATTTCATTCTAACCTTTCTGAGGTTGAAATCTCTGACTCACAGCTTCCTGAACTGCCCTCACATTCGCTTCGGTGAACGCTTGCCTTGCATCCTTTCGCGAAAGCGGTCACCAAGGTAATGTTGTCCACTGCTGTCAGACAATGAAAACTTACGGGTTTTACATAGATAGGGATGATGGACCATAACACTGAAGGTGATTTCCAGGCATCATCAAGAAGTGGGGGACAGTCCGGATCCAACTCAAAAGTCTTTGCTCCGGTGCAGGCGGCAGAGTCGATCGATGCGTCCTTGTCTTCGGAGGCCCCTCAAAGGGAGGGTTTAGGGTTAAGGGGTTTAGGGTTTAGTGGAGGCGGAAATTCGTCAAGGGAACCATGTGGCAAATCGAAGGGAGCTCTGCATTGTCTGACCATGGTTCACGGACAGGCTGCTTGGAGGATCATGGGACTTAGCAAGTATGGTAATAGGTACCTTGATTGGAGTTATAAGTACTTATTAGTATAGTTAGTCCCATGATCCTTTAAGTGCTGCTCAGTGAATGGGGGCAATTCCCTTCTCCGGCGCTGGGCCTTCGCCGAATTCCGATCTTGTCGCAACAAATGCTCATTGGTTTAAGTGTTTTGCCATCATACCTGAAGCTGGTTGGAAGAAAGTCGGAATAAATACCAAGAAGCGCAACAATGTCTACTTCATCTTCCTTCTTGTTCTCGCAAGGGATCGACAGAGAACCCATGGTTTGTCAGAAGACTCCGACATTTGGCCCGAACCTCCGCAATCCAGTCTGCTTCAGCTCGGATCCTTCAAGTCGAATCTTTCTCCTCGTACAAGTTCGCGGGGAAGTCTGGGACTGGTCTCTCCACATCAGCAAGTGCACCAAGCTCATGAGTTATGTCCTTGGCCCTTTTGTGGGTTGTGGAAGGTCAGCAAACATACCCGGATGAAGTCTGGCCAGGTGATGAGTCCACTGCGGTCGCGAATACTATCGCGAAGGCGAGGCTCGCCACTGTACGTCTCCTTGACCCGATAGGAATCGAAACCACACCCAAGACATCCACTAGTCGAGCCAGCCCTGCTTCAAAATCTAGCTGCAGTTAAGGGAGTACTTCATGGCTGATTCCCACTCAAAACGGCTACTTGCTCCTTGCCACGGACTCGCCGCTGCTTGAACCTCCTGAAAGGATGCAAACAGGCACATGATCCTGCCTCGAGGTCTCTGAAACTTCCGAAGCTATCCGAAAAGCAGTGAACTTATGCATATAACTTCCCATGTAGACTCCTTACTGTGAAACCCCTGTCTAGCATGCCAACCTGAAACCAAACAGTTTCTGCTGCGCAAGGTAGGTCCCAGGCCATGTGAGTGGCTCCAGGTAGGACAGGTCCTGCTGGATTTGGCTTACGCTAACCCGAAAAGTTACCCTTTTCAATTATGGTATAATTATGGTAGGATTATATAAGCCCCATAATTATGGTAGGATTATATAAGCCCCAAAGGTTAAAGGTTATCGGTTATCTGCTCAGCGACTAAAAGACTGAGTAATTTTGGGGTGAGGGCGGCTCGGTGCTCTCGGAAGCTGGGGCTGCGGATGTTGAGGGTTTAAGACGATGGTTTAGGATGCTACGGTTGATAATATAAATCCTGCATTACCTTAATGGCCCGAAACTATGGGAATTATGGCGGTAGATTCCTTATTATGGGTAATGCAGGATTTAAATCATCAGCCGTACCATTCTGGTCAACTGGGGATCGAGTTCCCAGCACGCGCCGCAGCGAATCTCAAGATGCTGAAGTACGCACTCTTCAAATTCAATCAGTCTAACCCTAGGGCTCCAGTTACCTAAATAGTGGGTTACTAACCATGTATTATATACCCCAGTAACCTACTATTTAGGTAACTGGAGCCCTAGGGAGTCTAATGAAACCAAACTCTAAACCGCTAAACCCTTAACACTTGTCCTCAACCCGATCCATCAAGTCACGTACTAGAGGGTCGCGAAAGGGTTCTGGGGTGTACTATGAATCAATGACAGCATCTAGGAACTGTACCGAAATGTCATATTGCTACACTTCAGGCCACTGTATATCCCTTACCCGTCAAACCCTAAACCCATCTAAACGCTAAACCCTCTATCACTTGGCTTTTGGTTTGGGCTCGCGCCTGTGCCCGTCCTGATGGAGCCTGAGGCTTTGTCAGCGTCTTGTGTGAATTCGGAGGTTGAGGGACAGTAGTTCGGGATGGTTTAGGGCTTTGGATTAGGGTTCTGGATGTACGGCTTGGAACTCAGGGGTTCAGCCCTCGAAGCCCGCTATGTACCTGTATACCAGCTTACAGGGCTTTTGGCACGATAGGGTTTCAGGATTTCAGGAGTAACCGACAGCGTGCTGGCCTTCTGGGATAGGATAATAAGGAAGAATAAGGAAGAAGGGCTAGGACCGGATCGACATTACGGAGGGTTGGGACGATTCAGGGTTCAGGATTTACGGCTTGGCTTAGGGAGGATGTAGGTGTTGATTAGGGTCGTGCGGAGAGGAGTCAGGTTTGACAGGGCTTGGCAGCTTTTAGGCAGGTGATACGTCATACCGGAACTATCATGAACCTCTGGTTTTGTTTAGGTCTCAGGCGAAGCACATTGCGGAGTGCGTGCAAAAGGGCTGGTAGGTCGGAGATATGGCGATTCAATATTCTGCTTATTAAACCAAAACAATGACTCAACGTCAAGGCACAAATGGTGCATCAAACTGCACAATGAATCCAAAGCCCCATCCCTGAACTCATAACTTTACCTATACTTCGCCCAGCACTTTAAACCCCAAACCCTCAATCCCGAATTCCCGAATCCTACGTATAGTCTCCATTGCGACTCCTTTGTTGGTCTAACTTGTTCCGCATGTATGATCCTTAAAGGTAGCCCAAAACCCTACTGCAATGGAGACTATACGCAGACCTCCTAAAACCTAAGCCCTGAATCCAAAAGAACCCTAAACCCTATGGCGCCCCAAACCCTTTACGGAGCCCCAAACCCTATAGACCCCTAAACCCTAAACAGAACCCACTTGTGAGCCGTACATCCCATGGATCCCACCTCCCCACGGAGCGGATCGTTCGCGCCCACAGGGGCGAGGAAGACGCTTGCAAGACAAAGGCACCGAAGCATGGCTGGAGCTTGATTAAACTGGGGTACTTGGAGTTTCATGGGTAGTTATATGTAAGTAGGGCGCAAAGTAGGGTAACTTATAACCCATATTCGGGGACTTTTAACCCCTCTTATAACTACCCCTGAACCTCCAAGTAGGAAACCTAGTTTAAGTTGCCACGATATCGGGATCTATGGTAACCTTGGTAAGTGTGGGAACTGAATATCGAAAACCCAGTAGAGGGCCCAGGACCCTCAGACTGGTGCACAGGGTTCAGTCGGGGTAGGGACCGACGGGTTTGGGCGTGGCTTTATGTTATTCACTGTCGTGAACTTCTTTAACAACTCGAACTTTTTTGGAAAAAAAACTCTGGCCTAAGGAGCCGAGGTTACGGCCTCGCGAATCCAAGTCAGATTCTGAGTCTTGTGCTGTACCCATGCTGCGGCACCTCTCGATGAACACCTAGCACGTGGAGCGGACCCAAGGGCCACTGCCCTTGTGAGGGCTTACCGTAATCCCAAAAAAGCTGCTTTTGAAGGACTTCAACTAGGAACTCATAATATAAGGAACCCTGATAAAGTAGGTTTTATAGGCTTCAGGTTCTGCTTGGAGTTCGCGATTCCGGGCTTGGGGTGGGCTGGTCAGCTGCTCGAGCCAATGAAGCGTCGCCTTGCAGTGTCCACAAGCCCCGACTTGTCGGGTATCATGGGGAACTCAAGGTTAACCTTTTTGGTTATACTGGGATTATATAGGGACTATACTACCCAAAAATGGTTAAAGGCTACCTACTCTACTACTAGGAACCACATATCCAACACATGGCCACGCTGCCTTAAGCCTCAAGACTAAAGTAGCAAAGGCTGTCGAATTGCCGGTGCAAAGTCAATTTCTAGGCGGCTCCGGCTAAGGCCTCCCACGGCGTGAGAGACATGACGAAGTGGAAAGTTATGGACAAGGATTTCCTATACTGAACTTAGAACCCTAGCAAAAACTATATTTTTAGCTGTTTCTTAGGGATCATAATAACCAAAAAACAAGAATCATTTCTAAGTACCCCTACGTTTCGGAAACAACCGCTTGA